ATCTTCATATCTATTTTGCGCTTTAAATGAACCATAAAGTCAGAAAAGTAGTACATATGCTGTTTTACTTATCTTTAGTTTATTTGTATATTTACTCTAATTGATATGCGGAAAATATATCGGAATACCTGATTGTTTTAACTTGAACATTATACCCCCCCCCCCCCCCCCCCCCCCAATTTTTAACTTATCGGTAATATTATCAGTCATTTTTACCGATTTTCATGATAAATCTCGTTTATTGTTTTTTTTGTTTTGTTTTTTTGAGTTCTGATTACCTTTTATTATTTCTTTTTTCATTTCTGATAACCTGTTTATGATTATTTTCATTTTCCGTATTTTCACTATAAAATATTTTTCACTGCAGTGAAACATATTTTCGTATTTTCACTGATGTCTTGCCAAAATACTTTCTTGTAAATTCAGCCAATGTACAAAAGTTAAGGAAAAGTCTATTAAATTGTTATGTCAAAAAGAGAAAACTTGTATATAACAAAAACTTTTTTTCCTGTAAATATATGATTTATTTTGCTCTTGCGGTATGAAAATTATCATATTTCACTCGTGTAAACAAGCTTCCGCCACTCGTGAAATATTTATTTTATACGATTCGATGAAAATAAAGTCCGTATTAATGAATAAAACTTGTGTTTTTATTACATACATTTTTCTCTTTTTTGACATTACAAATATCCCCTATTTAGAAAGCTTCATGTATTTGTGTCATGTATTTGTGTGTGAATGCATCCGTGCGTTTTACTTTCTCTCTTTCTTGGATACTAGTACAACACTTTTGTGATTTGTGTAGACATTACTTACATAAATACGCTTATTTTGCGATTAAAACATTTATGTAGGACCTAACTTTATGACCGACTTAGTCTGACAACAACAAAAATAGCAAAATACCTAAAACATAAGCTCTAAATCTGGAAAGAAAAGACAAAGAACGATATTTATTGTCACGTTTTGCACGTTTTATGAGATTAATCAAGGTATATTATTGGTGGGTTTTTTTTACAAGAAGGCTTCTTACACGACAGGTGTTATATACTATGTGCACCGATGATATTTTGATATATGTTGTATTTGACGGGTGTTTGATCTTGCTCTAGGAAAACGAAGTAGAGAAAATACGACGTCATTCATAGACCGTCTTATAAACGTAATATAATAATAGACGACCCAAAAGTTTCCGGAGCACACGAATGAATTACGGAGTGTTCCGAAATTTACCGAAATTCCAAAACAATCGCGGGAAATTATTTGGGGCACTCTGCCTTAATTATAAGGTAAATTATAAACTGATAATTAACTTTTAAAAAATGAATGTTTGTTTTTTGTTTATTTTTTGTTTCATTTTTATCTTGCTTTTTTGTTACGGAAGGAGAGAATAATGAAGGCTTTAAAACAAAGGTATTGGGGCTATATTTAGTACCAGAATATCATTAACTATTTATCCTAATTATTTAGGATAAATACTCGCAGCATAAATTAATAAAAATCAAAATAATAGTGGCATGTGTGCTGGTTTGGCCTCATTGGTCAAAAATTACTTTGTATAACCATTTAGCTAACACCTTAGCAAACAGACGATAAGTTTAGATACAATGCATATACAAGGTCAATACGGATGTTAAACCACCAAATTATGTTAATATTTAAATTTCGATGCCACCACTTTTCATAACCACAGGAGAAAAAATAAGTTTGCAGTTCATTTTGAATAATTATTGTACACTTATTTAATGAATCAGTTCTGTGAGTGCACTTGCGGGTTCATAAACGAACATGATAATGCCAGGGAGCACTTGCGGGTCAATTATTCAACATGTGAATACCTGGTAGCACTTGCGGGTCCATTAACGTACATGTAAATGCCAGGGAGCGCACCCGCGGGTCCTTTAACGTACATGTAAATGCCAGGAGCACTTGCAGGTCCAATGAACGAACATATAACTACAAGGGAGCACTTGCGGGTCAATTAACGAACATATAACTACAAGGGAGCACTTGCAGGTCCAATGAACGAACATATAACTACAAGGGAGCACTTGCGGGTCAATGAACGAACATATAACTACAAGGGAGCACTTGCAGGTCCAATGAACGAACATATAACTACAAGGGAGCACTTGCGGGTCAATTTACGAACATATAACTACAAGGGAGCACTTGCAGGTCCAATGAACGAACATATAACTACAAGGGAGCACTTGCAGGTCCAATGAACGAACATATAACTACAAGGGAGCACTTGCGGGTCAATTAACGAACATATAACTACAAGGGAGCACTTGCGGGTCCAATGAACGAACATATAACTACAAGGGAGCACTTGCGGGTCAATGAACGAACATATAACTACAAGGGAGCACTTGCGGGTCAATGAACGAACATATAACTACAAGGGAGCACTTGCGGGTCAATGAACGAACATATAACTACAAGGGAGCACTTGCGGGTCAATGAACGAACATATAACTACAAGGGAGCACTTGCGGGTCAATGAACGAACATATAACTACAAGGGAGCACTTGCGGGTCAATTAACGAACATATAACTACAAGGGAGCACTTGCAGGTCCAATGAACGAACATATAACTACAAGGGAGCACTTGCGGGTCAATGAAAGAACATATAACTACAAGGGAGCACTTGCGGGTCAATTAACGAACATACAAATGCCAGGTAGCACTCGCGATTCCATTAACGTACATGTAAATGTCAGGGAAAACAAAATGCTGATATATAAAGCGTCAATTCACTTACATATATGCGTATACATAGGTTTAGAATCAATTATATAACTATTAATTGCTGCCTCAGTTCGTCAGTATAGAATGTGGTATATCAGAAACAAAAGTTAATTACAATGTAAGACTTAATTGAAGTGTATAATCATTAAACCTGGTAATTACATTGCCAAGTTTCTGTGTTGTTGCCAATATAAGCAAAACAAATTTGTAACTATCACCCTTTAATAATTATGCAATTTATCATTATTACTAAAAGATCGAGTAAACATAAGCATGAAGGGAATTTAGAACAAACAATCGATATATTAAAACAACATAACACTGTATATTGTATATCTTATAATAAACGTTTCAAAGAAGTGAGCATACTTTGTTTCCCTCATAACTGTGCAGATTGTTCACTAGTCTCAGATGATTTAATTTTTTGTGTGAAATTTCTAAACTGAACCTTTGATGCACAGAAATAAATCTGTAACAGATGAAAAGATGCATGAACTCTTCAAGTTCTAGTTCTTGTTATAGTTCTAATAATTTGCCTTTAGCAACCACCTGCGTAAATGGTGGCCAGAGTCTAAATTGCCAAATGCTACTGTTTTGTACTGGCTATTGAAATCCCTTTAAAAAGTACCCGAAATGATAATGATAATAATAAAGACTTCATTTAACGAGAAAGCTAGAACTCATTTGAACAACACATCAATCTTCATAAACAAGGAACAATATTAATGTAACATAAAGATAGGCGTTTGACATTAATCATAAATATGCTGGAATAAAAAATGATAAGCCTTTGTCACTACATATATTTTCATGCAGTTTGATCGGGCATAGCCAATTTCAAATGCCAATCTTGAAATCCCAAAAATTGATAATGGACAGTTCCAAAAATGAAAGCTGGACAAGTCCATTTTAGAAGTTTAACAGATTTAGGGGCAATTTGCTTGAGTAAGGGTTGAGGTTAAAGAAAAAAATTCTAACTTTAGCAGGCCAAATGTAATTAAATTTAACTCAGTTGACGGTACAAACTTATGATAACCCTTAATGAATTCGGTAAAGTTCGTTCGATGACGTTGTTTACGAGTCCGAATTCGGCTACAGCCGGATTTTATACATAATTGATTTTTTAAAATATGGAATAAAATGAATTTGTTTGTATTTATTATTTACTTTACAATAATTAAATTATTGTTAGCGTCCAGATTGAAGTTTAAAATCACATTGACCTAGTCTCTTAAAAGACTGCATAGTAATACAAACGCAGGGGTAAATGGTAATTGTTCTAATGCTTTCTTTAAGCGTTTTTTTATTTCTACATTTGTAACCCACGCTGTTTTTTATTTTAGTCATTATCTGCTCCCATTCCAATCTTGTGAGGGTGTTGTTCTATATGCTGTAAAACTTGGTTGAGTGTTATATCTAAAATGATAAAATTTGCCCTAGGTCAACCGCTAACCTCCTGAATTTCCTTATGGACCTGTCCAGCTTTTAATTTGGAACTGTCCATTATCTATTTTAGGGACATCAAGATAAAAATTTAGAGGATTAAAATTTGGTGAAATTCTTATTGTAATCCACAAGACTTTTATTTCGAACTAGACAGATTAGGGTTATCATGTAGCGATCTAGGCATCATCTTCTCTTTCAATAAGTTTAAGGTTAAAATTGTGTGTCACTTTTTAAATGTATTTTTAAAGTATTAGTTTAAGATGTAATATTATAGTTATACAGGAATGTTATCTGTATTGTATTTATAAACAAACACCCACCATGTATACAAGAAACCTAAATTAAGAATAAATTTTAAAAAACATAAAAGTAGCTTCCCTCCAGATCAATGTTAGTTTTCTTGAATATATAATTGTATTTAAAGGTAACTTTTTTAATAATGTGCATTTAGTCCCTCCCCCATCCACCCAATATTTCTGTTTAAATATGATAACATTCGTTGAAATTGTAAATATTGCATACATTTTATATATTCAGTAAATACCATTATGACAAAAAAGAGAAGAAAAAAGAAATTCCTAAGGAACTGAATGTACCAATTTAGACGGACGGACGGACGGACGGACATACGGGACAAATAATAAAGGAACCTTGAATAGAAAATACATTAACTTACACCATTGTCATAAACCACGCATACGATTATAGCCCCGACCCACGGGCTTCACCGCGATGATATAAATCATTGTACTTACATTTTTTTTGTTGTATATGATACACGTATTTTATTTCAGGTGTGAAGTTAGAGTTTACAGGCCGTGCTTACGTACATTGGACAGAACAACACAGCACTGGTTCTGGAAAGACGAGACGTACAGAGACGAGGCATTACTCGGCGACAGAAATCTATTTTAATTTTGAATTCCTATTATTTGGTCCTGGTAAGTAACATTGTAATTAAGTCTTACCACCCTAAATATCTTACATAGACATCTTTGAATCTTGACAAAACCATTCATCATTTGAGGGACAATTTCAAAATAATGTACTGACTGAATTGCGAATAGAGCAATATCGGACGATGGTATAAAATAGAGAAAAACAGAATTCCTAAAGAATGTGCTTTTTAAAATGATTTTAACTTGTAAAATGAAGAAACAGAATCCCTAAAGAGAGCCCAATATGACAAAAATTGAAAGTTTTGCAGGCTCTGTTTGATTAAGCCTGTTCATGGTCGGTACTGGTAAGCTACCGTCTACGCCCCGTGGCACCGGCTTAAGCAGAATTCAACATTTAAAAAATCGTCGCCAGCAGGCTTATGGGTATACAATGAAGTCTCTATGCTATACCTAAGTAGTTTAACATTTCATAATTTTTGGTTTACTGCCATGTTATCCGCACTATTGATTAAACTTTCATCAAAGCTGCAATTTGTCTATCTTTTCATCTCGTCACGAGTCATAGAATTATGAAATACTGATGCATGTTTATCGACAGTGTTATAAACAATTAATAGAATTTAGCGCCATTGATTTACAAAATGCAATTAAAATGAACTGTTCATAGTTTTGTTCAGTGACATTGAATGCTGCATGGTATATAACTTGTGAAATGAATTTAAATTCTTTAAATTAATATTTTTTCTATAATTAAAGGTACTGGTTCCACATTGCTACAGGCCGGTCACCACACGTTCCCCTTCACATATACATTACCACAAAATCTACCTTCTTCATATGAGAGCAGCATAGGAAATGTTCGGTACCAGCTCAAGGCTAAAATAGACAAACCCTGGAAATTTGACCATAAAACAAAACGGATGATCACAGTAATCAGCATGTTAGACTTGAACCAGCAACCGGCAGCAGCCGTAAGTGTGTTTTGTTGTTTTTTTTGTTTGCTCCCGAGCAAAATGTTTGTTATCATATTCTAAGGTCGTGCAATGTTTAATATGAGATGATATTATTACTAGTATGTGAGCCGCATCACGACAAAACCAACATAATGGGTTTGCGACCAGCATGAATCCAGACCAGCCTGCGCATCCGCGCAGTCTGATCAGGATCCATGCTGTTCGCTATCAGTTTCTCTACTTGTTATAGGGTTTGTAAGCGAACAGCATGGATCCTGATCAGACTGCGCGGATGCGCAGGCTGGTCTGGATCCATGCTGGTCGCAAACCCATTATGTTGGTTTTGTCGTGACGCGGCTCATGTAGTTTTCAGCTTTCTATATTTCTATATGTACGTATCTGTAGCAAACGTCTTTAAAATAGTCCTTGATTATTTTTTATAGTATGTCAGTAGGCCCTATAGTCTGATTTTATTGACCTGTCAATCATGAATATATTATAGAACTCATTTAAATATTCGATTCCACTTCGGTTCTGTTCTAGTTTACGAGAAATAATATAGAGCATATAACTAATTTTTTAAAAAGTCAAATCATCTTAATGTATATTTTCTCCGTAATATCCTCAATAGCGCAGTCGGTTAAGTGATGGCCTAATATATTAGACGTCTGTGGTTCGATCCCTACTGTTGCCATTGTTTTAGACCTACTCTTTCTTTATTGTTGCAGTAATTTTTACTGGAAATGGCCGAGTGTTATGCTTACGGTAATTTAGTTTGAATATAAAGCAACTTATAAACACTATTTTGTAATTCTAGTAATTGAAACTGGACTCGTCCATTTAAAGAAATTCAGCGGGTTATAGGTTAAGCTCGCTTGCACCAAACTCAGTACGTTTCTATGAGGTAATTTGTATCTACCTCCCCAGGGAAACAAATTTCAGTAAGTAAGTATCTACCTCCCCAGGGAGATTCACTTGTTGCCGATCTCTTCGCAGCATAAACATTTCTTGCATTTCAATTGTACTTTTTCTGTATACGCAGCCATATATCATTTGTTGTGCTGAATGCGTCTGATTAAAGCAAAAACATTGTCGGAATATTTGTTTGATCATGCTTCAGGAACAAGAATGTCTGTTTATATCATAATTCCATCAGAGCTTTCTATTTAGCAGTAAAAAACAGGCGGAAATTGGCATATTAACTTCGAAGAGTATGAAATCATTTTTCATTATATTTGTGAAGTCGAGTTGTTTATAACATTATCCCTATGTCTGTCAATATTAAACACGGTTAATTAAATATAAATTACTGCACTTTCTTAATGGTGCATGGCTAAAACTGACAAAATATTCTAAAATATAATATTATATTTATCCTTGCACTGCTTGAACCAGAAATTGCAAATGAAGAGCCAGGCATTTCTGCACATCATTATATAGTCTGACCATGCTGTATACTATGCTCAATCTAAATTTTCATTTTGGTATCCCTAAATTTGATAATGGACAGTCCCAGAAATGGAAGATGGGCAAGTCCATTGAAAAAAATCAGCAGGTTAAGGGTTAACTTTAGGAATGGTGCAAGCATGGTGTTTTGTCATATTACTCGTTTTTCAATACAATTTTATCAAATAGTGGCTTTGTTCATAAAGCATATGGATATTCTAAGTTGAAAGAATAGAACCCTTACATAAAATTTCATCTCTCTGTTATAGAAATATACAAACATTATTCTTTTAATTCAGGTTCTTTTATCCCGATCTGATGATATTTTAGACAATAAACATCCTGTCGTCTGTTTTTCCCTTGACATCTTATTCATTTTATTTCAGCAACAAGTTGCTCATTTATTTTCTCCGTCCCGCAGCGGTTACTTTCCCTGATAAGTACAAAATAACAAAGCGTGACGTTACCACAGACACTTGGGGTTTGGAGCTCAAAACGCCTTTAAAATCCAAATAAAATGCATATCTGTCAATCCCAGTACATGTACTGATCATATATATAAAAAAAACTTAATATATAGAGGATATTGAATGAGTGTAAGTTCAATACTGAATTTATTGCACGAGTTGAATAAAATTATATTATGCGAGCCTCTGGCGAGCATAATATTATTTTATTCAACGAGTGCAATAAATTCAGTAACGAACTTACACGAATTTAATATTCTATTTATCACATACCAAAAATAAAGACCGTTTAAAGTGAAATAAGAGTCATTTTTCATTGACGCGCCTATAGTATAACGCTAACATTTAGCGCGTATTTACACTATGTTTGTATAACTCTAATGACGTCACGTCAAAATATATGCACGGCCGTGCAATACCATATTTACGGAGTCGCAAAATCGGCACGGGTGTGTGATAAAAGCCGTTTTGAAAAAATTTCATATTTCAACATCTAGAATAATACATATTATAGATGTTGAAATATGAAATTTTTTCAAAACGGCTTATATTAAGTTTTTTTTTTATATATATGATCAGTACATGTGCTGGGATTGACAGATATGCATTTTATTTGGATTTTAAAGACGTTTTGAGCTCCAAACCCCAAGTGTCTGTGTGTTAAGAGGGGGCATCTTATTCTTTAACTTCAACTTGTTATTTGCGAAACACTGTTTAATTCTATTCTGTCAGTTATAGACCCCACTGTTTGTAGTTAACATGATGTAATTTGACTTAGTTTTATAGCTCTATTATAGAGTGATTATATAGTATCTAAACAACCCATCGTGCATCGTAAAACAATAACGCACTCCAAAATAATTGACAAGTACTGGACTCGATTTAGACTAAGTAATAACTAACTAATTAACTTAATGTCTTCTAAGTCTCATCATTATATTTTATGTCAAATAGATCTCTTCTTTTGACACTTTATGGATATTATCAGAAGTGTTTTTGGGATTGAAATCATTATCATAATTATAATGGCGGCATTCCAGCTCCCGGAACTCTTCCGTGTATTATATTAATACATTCAAAAACTAGATAAATACTGAATAATAAGTGTTATACATTGTTCTGTAGGCAGCTGTGCAAGGCCAAAACTCGAAGAACTTATGTTGCTTGTGTTGTAAGTCCGGGCCAATATCGGCCGTATTTCACGTGGACAGAGCCGGATACGTTCCAGGTGATACGGTATTCTTGAACGCAGAAATAAGTAATAATTCATCACGGAGGATGTGCGCGTCCAGAGTCAAGCTTATTATGGTAAGCTAATGAAAGAGGCATATAATTATCCTTACATCTTAAATGGACGTCTTGTCCACCTTTCAATTCGGACAAAACCACTCATCACTTTTAAGAATTTTTTTAAAACAGGAACTGACAGGTAGCGAAAGGTGCAGAATATGTTCAGACGACACAAATGTACCGGATGATCTTGGTCTGCACTGGTTCAGTTGTCGCCAGCAGTCTAAAGGTTATGTTTTACGATCAGATATCTTATATTTATTCGTTTTCAGGTAAAGTTTTGTTTGCTCTAACTTTGACATATATTTTCTTGCAGAATGATATATGCATAGAGATAAATAGAATCTATCATTGGGTTTGATGGAGGATAGGGAAATCCCAACCCGAGGGTGATCGGTTCCATCGGGAACGAGCCTTGGCGAGTTCCCGATGGAACCGATTGCCCGAGGGTTGGGATTTCCCTATCCTCTATCTAACCCAATGGTTGATTATTTTTCTCACTCACCTGGACACATAAATATCAGTGAATCTACTTGCTACGCGCCTTACAACGTACATAGTTTTGAAAAGGGGGCGGGGCTTAGGCGCCTGACTTTCTATGATTAAAAAACATTATGTACGTCCGCAAAAATTCTTCTGACCAAGTTTATGTGTGAAAAATTAAATGAAAATGAATTCATATGAGATCCCTCATCAAAAAGCAAGGTTATCATGATCACGGATTTAAATTACAGGGATCGGACACTCCTAGTAAACCTATATAAAACGTTAAAATATCTTGTCGCGCGTGTACCTGTACACTCGATATCGGGAAACCAATCAATAATTTTTAGTTTATCGGAGTTAAGCGTAAAATACCTGCGCTAAACTGATACCTTCTCTACAAAAAGTCTTGTTGTCGTTCCATTTATCATCCGATTTGAAAATTAAAAGACACATTTTAAGAAAATTGATTCTATATTGCAAATATCAATTTTTATTGAAAAAAAATATATACCTCTCTGTCCATACCGACGATTAAGAAATTGAAAAACGACGAAAAACCGGAGTAATTTACCGTTAACTTTTCGGGGTGCGCAAATTGATACTTACAGTACAAAAAGTATTGCAGCTTTACCATTTATTATCCGATTTTGAAAATTAAAAGACACATTTTCAGACAATCGGCCCCTTATTGCAAATATCTATTTCTATTGAAAAAAAATATATACTCTCTGTCCATACCGACGATTAAAAAATTGAAACGACGAAAACCCGGAGTAATTTACCGTTAACTTTTCGGGGTGCGAAATTGATACTTACAGTACAAAAAGTCTTGCTGCTTTAACATTTATAATCCGATTTAGAAAATTAAAAGGAACATTTTGAGAAAAATTGGTCCCTAATTGCAATCATCTATTTTTATCTTAAAAAATATATATGTTCTGTCCATACCGACGATTAAGAAATAAATACGACGAAAACTCGGAGTAGTTAACCGTTAACTTTTCGGGGTGCGAAATTGATACCTACAGTACAAAAAGTATTGTTGGCGTATCATTTGTTATCCAATTTTGGAAATTTGTAGATTATATTTGAGAAAATTTATTTTTTATTACAAATATAGGTGTCAATTAGATAATAATATATATATATAATTAGCCCGTCTCCCTTCATACCGACGATTAAGACAAAGCCGAGTACAAACGGTTAAAATCTTCTTCTTTTTTCAAATACAACATTAAACTTGATTTTCGGATATTTTAAAAAAATACCATTTCAGACTATTCCACAGCTTCTATTATTTAATGAGCGAATTTGAAGTTGCTTTTATTAAGGGATGTACGAGTAATAGTTGGATTTGTACTTTCCAGATGCAGTTATTTTCCGTAATATCGTAGAACAATTCAACTATACATGTATTGTTTTTTTTGGTTAGCACGGGCGTTTACTTGACTTTTTTTCAATCATATTTTAAATACAAAAACAGGCCCTAGTATTTTTTTTGGAAGTCATTATAACATTTTTGGGATAATTGATATTGATACAGACATTCACAGTTTGAGTCGGTATTGAGCGGTCGTTTTTTATCTGGTAAGTGTAAATTATTCATAAACACCTCATTAAAATTAACGTGCCTAAAACTTTTTAATTAAAGAATAAATTTCTTTGAAGTTTCTTGATTAAAGAAGGAACGTTAAAATTCAGGTAGTAAGTGTTAATAACAGTACTTAAGTATCAATGCTATTACCAGCACAAGTTTGTGTTCTATATTTCTACAATATGAAACAGTAGATTTTTTGAAAACATTTATTTACATACTTGAACACATTTTTAATTTCTTTCAACTTTACATGTAATTATTCTAACAAATGTATGAATTTCAAGTCATTTGAAGATTTCATGTATGTGAAATTGTCATTTGTTATATGCCTTTTACAGTTCTCACGGAATTCACTAAATATCCTTAATGATTCATTTTCCACAAACTCATCAAGATCAGTATCTGGACAATATCTGTAAGGCTTGTCAAGAATAACAAAAAACTCGTCAGCATGACATCCATCACTGTCAAAGCACTCAACTCTTTCTAGAGGTGTTTCATAACTTTCTGTAGTACCATCCTTAACGAAGAATGTGTCACCAAGCGATTTTGATAAGAGGTCTTCCGCCAGAACATCTGCTGACAAATGTTGCTTCCGTGGTTTTTCTCTCGCTTCATTTTTCTACCAATTTGTCCTTTTTTTTTGTCATGATTGTATGTTGATATATCACCAAATGACTGTAACAGGATCAATAATCTGAAAATATATATAAAATACCCATAAAATTGAACACATACAAATCAAATATTGAGAAATATTGATGAAGTAAAATTAGTTTTTTCACTTTTTAAAAAATATTTTTCTGCAGTGAAAACATATTTTCACTTGTGTCTTGCAGGAATATTTTCTTCTAAATTCAGCCGATATTTATTTGCTTTGCTGCATCCCATTTATTTCAAGATTTTGAACACAGCTTCTGAGTCAGACAATAACACAAATGAGTTTGTTTGACAACCCTGTTGACAACTGAATTTGCTGTCCCTGATTGTGTTTCAGATTTATATGCAAAATACATGTACAGCAACCAAAACATCACTCATGCAATCTGTAATTTATATCCCAGCTCAAATTAATTTAATGCTGGTCATATACTTATCATTAAAATGAAAAATTCAAGACTTCACTCCTATTTTTTTAAGTAAATTTTGTCCAGGATTTCTACATGTATTTTGAGTGTCATTGAATCCTCCATGACCTTCAGGAAAAGGGTAAAACTTAAGTTATATGAACAGAATATTAACAATTAACTTAGATGTAATAAACCAAAAATAGGGGTCTCCCTAATTACCGACAAGAACCGTCAGGAACCGACAAGAACCGACAAGAGCCTATATATTACAAATAAACACGTACAAAAGTGTTTTTATGATTGTTAAACATGCAGGGCATATATATTTTTCATATTTGATAAGGGTTTTCTTGTATTTTTATAGAAAATTAAATATATGCGTACCGACAAGAAAAAGTCGAGTGCAACGCGTACTGTTACTGTTACGTTGACACCGACAAAAAAGATTTGTTATTTTCAATATGATATAAATAATATAATCAGTTGCAAAAGTTGTGGTCAGAATATCTTATGAACATGTTTCAACCTTGTTTGTAGTCATAAATCAGTTTTTCATGATATTGCATGAATGTATATGCAACCGACAAGAAAAAACCAGAGATCATGCGTAATGAAGATTTACCGACAAGAAATTGAGAACGGGCTGTAGTGTAGAAAGAACATGCATATAATCTTTTTTTGTAATTAAATAACTTTTAAGACTAAACTTTCATATTTTAATGTTTATAAGAAAAAATATTTGTGTTTAATCCTTCTAGTTTTAAAATATATTTAACAAATCGATTACCGACAAGAAAAAACCAGGGATCATGCGTAATGAAGATTTACCGACAAGAAATTGAGAACGAGCTGTAGTGTAGATGTAGAACATGTATATAATCTTTTTTGTAATTAAATAACTTTTAAGACTTTAAACTTTCATATGTTAATGCATGTAAGAAAAATAATTGGTGTTTATTCCATTTAGTTTTAAAATATATTTAACAAATCGATTACCGACAAGAAAAAACCAGGGATCATGCGTAATGAAGATTTACCGACAAGAAATTGAGAACGAGCTGTAGTGTAGATGTAGAACATGTATATAATCTTTTTTGTAATTAAATAACTTTTCAGACTTTAAACTTTCATATTTTAATGCATATAAGAAAAATAATTTGTGTTTATTCCATTTAGTTTTAAAATATATTTAACAAATCGATTACCGACAAGAAAAAACCAGGGATCCTGCGTAATGAAGATTTACCGACAAGAAATTGAGAACGAGCTGTAGTGTCGATGTAGAACATGTTTATAATCTTTTTTGTAATTAAATAACTTTAAACTTTCATATTTTAATGCATATAAGAAAAAAATATTTGTGTTTATTCCATTTAGTTTTAAAATATATTTTAAAAAATCGATTACCGACAAGAAAAAAAACAGGGATCATGCGTAATGAAGATTTACCGACAACGAATTGAGAACGAGCTGTAGTGTAGAAAGAACATCTATATAATCTTTCTTTTGTACTTTTTTTCAGTTTTTGAAGAAATTGATGATGACCATTGAGAAGAAAAGACGGACATCGTGACTTACAAAGATGTGATGTTATGCATTATACGCTTGTATTTGTTTAATGAAAAAACATTGAAACCTATTTCGAACCCTCCACAGGTCTCATCAGGTTGTGGTTCATTTCTCCAAATAATTCTCAAAATATGTTTTCATATTTCATATTAATAGATAACACACACATCCAAATGAAATTTCTGTAAATATCCGTTAGATTTACGTATAACGCTTAGTTTGTAAAAAAGAGTGGGGCAGTCTTTTTAAATTTTAGGCAGATTTATAATTTTATCCTAAACATTTTCCAATATCAACTGTTGACACCATTTTGACAGTCAATCTTTAGAAATATAAAGTCAATTCAGCTCAACTTGAAACTTGTCATTTTAATATTTTATTATCATAAAACTTACGGGCGTGGCGCCAGAGGTTGCAGAAATTTTTAACTTTTTTTTTTTAATTTAAAATTATTTACATAAGTTACAGCACTGCTTTGAACTTACGGGCTTTTGGGCCGCGCCAGAGGTTGCAGAAATGTGAAAGTTCATATAAGTTATGTACTGTACACAAACACAACACAAGCATTAAACTTACGGGCATTTTTTTCTTTCGTTGCTACTTTTTTATATACAATGTACGAATTATCTCTTTCTTTCACAGCTTTTCATTTCGAAGTTGTTTTCGCACCTTCTCACCCCAAGCGTTTGCTATGAACAAGCGCAATACACGCTTATATAATTAAAGTTTTCACAGCTTTGATTAAATTAAATTGCTCAAAGCTAACTGAGTGAGAAACACACGCGCACAAGCTTTAATTGAGTAATATCAATCAATTTTGTTTGAGCAATCGATTTTGAAATTTGTACTTGAAAAAAAATTTTTTGCCCTGAATATGTTTTTATGTATATATGCTAATAAAAAAATTGAATTGAATTTATGTTTCCGTCCATTATTTTATTTCTTATATTCTTATTGCATGCTTTACCGATGTATTTGTGTAAAAATTGTAAATGGATTATAATTGGATAATTTAAATGGCAGGTATGTAAAACTTTATATATGAAATATATTTTGATACAGTTATGAAATACTATATTTTAAACAACTATAACTGATCACTTTCATTAAATATGTTATATCTTGTCTATACATAATGTTTCTTTAAAGAAATTATGATCATGAAGCATGATAATATTTCTTGTCGGTACTGTAGGCATGAAAACATTTCTTGTCGGTAGACATGAACACATTTCTTGTCGGTAGACATGAACACATTTCTTGTCGGTACAGAAATATTGCCTAAATGCAGGATATTTTGTAATCAATAACAACGAAATGTTTTAAAATTATTTATTGAATATAGACTGACAATAGATTATTTGAACACATTTAAAAACCTACGCCATTGATAGCAATAATGAAACTTTCTTGTCGGTATCCGCGAATATTCTCATAAGGTCATTCATTAATGATGATATTCTTTAATTGAATTAGAATACATTTAACATAATAATTATTATTTATAATACAACATAGTCTTAATTAAAATAAATTATGATTTAACACTTATTATACACAAATTCTTAATGTAATATCAATGATAGGAAGATGGCCAAGTTCTTGACGGTGAGAAAATGAGACTGACTTCTTGTCGGTATAGATATTTGCCTATAAACATGGTTCACAACGAATTTATTGTATTTTTTATGTAAAAAATATTAAGAATTGTTATTATAAAATGATGAATAAGTGAAATTAATTCGTATTTTCCCATTTTTACTTCTTGTCGGTTCTTGTCGGTAATTAGGGAGACCGAAAAATAGACAAATTTCAAACTAAAATTACCAAGGAAGTTTGTAAGTAATTCCCTAATTTTTACTTCTGTTGCACTAATCACACAATGGTGATAATAATTAGAACGAATTTTTGAACAACAACAGTTTTCCCTTCTATGAAATGGGAAGCAAATTTCGAAGATTTTTTTTTTTTTATTTATGCGGCCATCTTTGAACGAGGGGTGATTTAAATCTAATGTTGCGGTATTCTACAGCCATATTCTAAGAAAACCATTTATCTGACTGCACAAATCAATACTATGTTAGTATAAACATTACAATTTAAACATAAAATAAATTCCTGTTTCGTCATATTTGGGCAGCAAAATCAGCTTATTTTCGTTCGTGTTCACCGCCATCTTGAATAATTTTACCGTTACGATAAGCAAAATTACAATACTAACTTTCACGGCAGTTTGATTGTTTAAGGAGCTAAATAAAATAAATACTTAATGTAAACATATTCAATAATACTTACTTGACAAATAGTGTGTACCAAAGTTGTATAAACAACGCAATCAACAGCAAAAACCGAGTTTTTTTATCAAATGTTTACACATGTCATCCTCGGTCTACGCCATTATTTCATCTTCTTCCGGTGAGAAGATCTCGCGCATGCGCGCGGCCCGATTTAAAGCCCAATCGGAAGTGTCCGATCCTTGTCAATTAAAGTCCGTGTCATGATAAAACACATTGATATTAAAAACGGAAAGTGCCATAATATAAGTGTTTATAAGGAATTCAGTCCATACTTCAATGGTTGACAAAAAAACGTTTACCGTTTGCAAAAAGTTTTCTACTTTTTCGGTCATTTTGGCCGAATATTCAATTAAAATATATCAAAATGACATTCGTCATCAAAAAGCATCGTTATCATAAGAAAAAACATGAATGTTTTTCAGGCAAAGTGTCATAATATCCGATTTTTCGAAGAATGTTTCGATATTTTAAAGTGTGCTATTTTTAGTAACAGACCGTTATTGGAAAGGGCGGACCTAGGTAGAGTAGGACTCATTGCAGTGTGAAAGTTAATATCAATCTATTTTGATTCCGTAGACAATTTAATAGATTAGCTCACAAATTTTTAATACATTTCGACCTTTTGACGTTTCATTTTTGTTAAAATAGGAGTGAATCGCGTATTATTTAGAAGTGCTGCACGTTGAGTGTGAGATAAGCCCATGTGAGATAAGATTTTCCAACACCGCTATTTTTAGTAACATTTAAGGATTTTTCTATCTAGTTAGTGAGAAAACTATTGTAAGCTATTTTAGCGTGAACATTTGTGACTCACGTGTTATGCTAAACCGAAACACTTTTATGTTATTCAATAAATAATTTTATAACTCCAGATCACCTCATACCATGCAACGACCAAAACCAGAACAGATTTTAAATGCGTTGCCTCGCTTTCGAGAGGAGAAATACCACCTCACGGAGATGACGTATGGTCAGGTGACCAAATGATAATTCCCGCCATTCCACCGTCGTATCTTGTCGGATGTAGTATCATTGATATCAGATATATCCTACAGGTAAGTTATGGTTATATCAACTATCAAAGTGGTTTGAATTGTATTGTTAAAGTGACAGAACTTTTTTATGTAGTAAATCATATATAAAAAAAGCCTTTTACCTGTTCAAGTGAAATAGTTATATAACCTACTCTTTAAAAAACACAGTTGAAATCGGTATTTTTACACCGAAAACTATCCAGTTTATAGCCATTCTCAAGTAGACGTCAGAAACGTCCAGTTTGATATGGAAATCGGAAGTTCGCGCACGCGTAACTAAAACCCGAAACAAAACAAATATCAATCGTACAAGATGTTTTGTTGTTGCTGTTGCATTTTTCTTTTCTGCAATAAAAGTTCTCATGTATTATTTAAGTAAATAAATTGACCTAGAAAATGAAAATAAGCTCAACTCCAAACAATGGAAGGATATTTTCTTTAATGATATTAGATACATTTAATGACTATCGTTTTTTAAGCCAACTCGCATGTTTACAATTTAAGCTTGAGGTAGATCCATCAGGGCCGGCATTTGACCTCGAAGTTCCTCTTGAGATAATCATTGGTACGATCCCGTTACGCCAAGTGGTCCAGAGATATTATCCACAATGGCAACCACCACCGGCACAGCCAGCAAGAGCAGAACCATCGGCTCCACCCGCTGTCACACCACCGGACTTGCGTATGTATTTTATTCTAACATATTACTCAAAAACAATAAATATATGTTTTACAAAAGAGACCTCCGTTATTATGGTGTCAATAACGTTTTTTGAAAATTACCAACCCCAAAGATGTATGCTCTAATTCCATGAATGTTTATTTTATCTTAGGGAACAAACTATCAGAGGTTCTACCCATGTGTACACTGCTCGCTTTTTAAATTAAGTAATTTCTCCGAGATTTTGTAATCCGTTCAATTAATAATGAAACGTTAGTGTACGTCAAATCAAAATCCGGAACAGTTGTACAAAGTAACCAGTGTAATGATAAACCGTTACTATGCTAACCACTGAAAGTGATTAACCTTTTCCACTATAGTATTAACCACATCCGTGCAGTTTAACCATAATCAATACTATTGATAGATCAATTTATCTATTTTATCTTTAATGTTGAATGGTCTGATCCAGTTTCAAAGATGGACGAATCCATTACAAAAAAATAGCGGGGTTTTGATCATTAATCATTAATATTTCAGCACCACCATCCTACGCAGAATGTGTGTTCGGAAAAGTCACGATTGGCGAAGATGATGACGATAACGAACACATGGGCGGGGACAAAATATTTGCCCCAAGTTACACATACTATGATTGGTCAAAATCTTCGTTTAAATAAAGGAATTATGTGTGCTTAGAAAAAAAGGAGAAATTGTTGATTCTTAAAGACTCAAAGAAACTGCGAGCACAAAATAATCGCAGATATTAAATTAAGTAAACGTTTTGGAATACTTTTTTCCTATTAAAAGCAATGCAATTAATTTACATGTTCCATTTCTTACACCATATGTAACAGTAGTGTAGCAACCTACATATTCACAGGAATTGCCCGGTACTTAAGTCCGAACTATTTGCATGATTAGGTCAGCAAAGTGTTTTTGAACAGTTGTGAAACAACGAATTATTCAGTAAACAGTTGACATTGTATACGTTTTTCTTCGTCAAAATAGCAGACAATATCACATGAATTATTCATTCACATTGACAAAACAAAAAAACATCAACAAACAACAACAACAACAACAACAATAAACAACAACAAAAACACAGTCATTATTGTTGTATGAATAAGTTTATGTCAAAAAGTCAAGATCATACAAATTATTCAGTGTTACATAACAGCGAGTATTGTGTTATAGGAATCATTTAATGTAAAATGCCGTTCAATATTTTATGAATAATTTATAATTAAATACAGTCAATGTTCAATGAATTTATTCTTCAAGAGTCTTTATATGATCCCTATTAAGATCCATCATTAAATAACTGTACATGATATTTGAATCATTGTTTTAAAACAGTCAATGTTATATGGAACATTCGTTATTTATACTTGTTAGTCTTACATGACTTATTCCTTGTTTTATAACAGTCAATGTTGAAACTTGAAACTTGAAACTTGAAAACTTGATTTAACGCCTATTTCTACATATACAATGTTATGTGGTACTTATTCATTGTTTAACAACAGTCAATGTTATATGGAACATTTATTAATTTTTAACCGGTAGTGTTACATGACTTTTTCATTGTTTAATAACAGTCAATGTTATATGGAACATTTATTAATTTTTAATTGGTAGTGTTACATGACTTATTCATTGTTTTATAACAGTCAGTCTATATGGAACATTCATTAATTTTTTTCAACGTCAGTGTTACATACTTATTCATTGTTTCATAACAGTCAATGTTATATGGAATATTTATTAATTTTTAACCGGTAGTGTTACATGACTTATTCATTGTTTTATAACAGTCAATGTTATATGGAACATTTATTAATTTTTAATCGGTAGTGTTACATGACTTATTCATTGTTTTATAACAGTCAATGTTATATGGAACATTTATTAATTTTTAATCGGTAGTGTTACATGACTTATTCATTGTTTTATAACAGTCAATGTTATATGGAACATTTAATAATTTCTAACCGGTAGTGTTACATGACTTTTTCATTGTTTTATAACAGTCAATTTTATATGGAACATTCATTAATTTTTAACCGGTAGTGTTACATGACTTGTTCATTGTTTTATAACAGTCAGTCTATATGGAACATTCATTAATTTTTAACCGGTAGTGTTACATGACATTTTCATTGTTTTATAACAGTCAGTCTATATGGAACTTTCATTAATTTTTTTCAACGTCAGTGTTACATACTTATTCATTGTTTAATAACAGTCAATGTTATATGGAACATTTAATAATTTTTAACCGGTAGTGTTTCATGACTTATTCATTGTTTTATAACAGTCAGTCTATATGGAACTTTCATTAATTTTTTTCAACGTCAGTGTTACATACTTATTCATTGTTTAATAACAGTCAATGTTATCTGGAACATTTATTAATTTTTAACCGGTAGTGTTACATGACTTGTTCATTGTTTTATAACAGTCAATGTTATATGGAACATTTATTAATTTTTAACTGGTAGTGTTACATGACTTTTTCATTGTTTAATAACAGTCAATGTTATATGGAACATTTATTAATTTTTAATTGGTAGTGTTACATGACTTATTCATTGTTTTATAACAGTCAGTCTATATGGAACATTCATTAATTTTTTTCAACGTCAGTGTTACATACTTATTCATTGTTTAATAACAGTCAATGTTATATGGAACATTCGTTAATTTTTAACCGATAGTGTTAACACACATGACATTTTCATTGTTTAATAACAGTCATTGTTATATGGAAATTCATTATTCTATACTAGTTTATGTTATATAAATTATTCATAGATTTATAACAGTCAATTTTATGGAACATTTGTTAATTTATAATATATGAAATATTCACTAGTGTATGTTTATGTTATATTGAATGACAAGTTGTTTCTGACATTTCAATTTGTATTTAGCTTTTCATTTTATTGTTTGTATTTTAGATATATGTATACTTTTAGATAATGATTCTGTACATAGATTTAAGATAAAAAATAAAAAAAGAAGTTCTAATTCATACTCTTCTGCTTTAACAAAATGTATCGCCTCCTAATTGAATGAAGTACCCATTTGTTACAAAAAAATTTGGAATCTTTAATTGAGTGCCCTTTAATACAAACTTAAAATAAACAAAATAAAACATTAAGAAAACATACTATTATATAAAGCGACAAAGTAGATTAGCTGAACAATCTGAAAAGAGCATTATTCAACTTTTAGACCCATTGTAAAAATCTGTCCATCTTAGCAAAACTTTTCAAAACTGTTTACGATTTTTGTAAGGTTTTAAATTCAGATAAAAATGTATTCACTAAAATTGTTTGAATCATGACTTTGTTTTATTGCTCCGTAATTCAGAATAAATTTATTCTGTACAGCGTGTGTAATGCGTTTAAGGAGAGGCCATAAAATGCTCTCTAATACAGTCCTTTTTGCGACCATTGATACCGTGCAAGCTTGAATCAGCATATTTATGGACCTTTTGGAAATCATAAAAATGTATCATTTAAATAATCAAACTTGAAAAAGGTAATTTTTTTCTTCATTTCGTTACTAGTAACTTGGTATTTGATTTTTTTACAGTTATTAGTGAATGGTGAAATAATTATAAAACTGGAAGCTGGTAAAGTCCTATTAAGAAATTCAGCATGTTAATGGTTAAACGAACAACGACAAAATTTCAAGTACAATTGTACAACCTTTGACTTTATTCAGTGCAATCATATAATATATATCAATTGAAACATACAAACATAATAGACATAAAAATCTTTATAAATAAAATGTTTCATTGAACACAAACATCAACAAGAAAGGGAGGCACACAATGAACGCATCTGCAAGAAGCCCCGCAGGTCTCGAAACAAAAACAGGAGAAGGTGCAAGGGCAAAGCATAGACGGTGTGTTAATGGATTTCATAATTCAATTGTATAACTTATTTTTTACAAGAAACACGCAAATACGAGTATATCACAGTGATTAAATTTTCACAACCTTCTGCATATTCGCTTAAAACATTTTAATGTTTACAAACAGATAATGTATCAATCATTTCGTAAATGATGTCAGATAATGGAAGACATGTACTTATCTTCAAAATTGTAGTGATCTTTTACCCGACCAAGCCTGCAAAAATTAGTGAATTATACTAAAATAGCGTTTACTTAACTCTGAACTCCTTGAATGCTCTATTTTCCATATCACTCTCCTAGAGCCTTAGTTTCACTTTCACTTTACATGTAATCAAGGCATTCTCTATACCGTATAACTGCTTGTTTTAGCATTTTTATTGCCAAAACCCTCTCACACCAACAATGGACTACCCCAAATTCACAACAGTGCCAGTCCATTAGATAAATGTCAATCAAGGAAATCTCCTCTGACATCATATTTGAATTTACAACTGCATTTTTACTCTCCTTTACGTCTAAATTGTTAGATTGTCCTCCTTTTGTTTAGATATAAACTATAAATGAAGCAAACCATATATGACTAATAAGTAAAACGTTTAGCGCAATAGATTGTCAAACTATTGCAGGACACAAAAGTAAAGAATCTTCCATGAAAATGTGTTCACACTCATTCCCAAAATTTGACTCTAGTCACCTCCGCTATTATGAATTGGAATAATGGTGTGGGAAAGTTGAATAATTTATAACTTCATGATTCACTACCATGTTAAACTTTAAAACAATCTATTGAACTTGATTAGATTCAATCCAACGTTGACCAACGTTTCAAACCATATTTCTCTGTCAAAGATAATCAATTACTGTTTTTATTTTTATTTTTTGTTTGATTTTTATTGAGCCTGGTAGGTTCACTGTTTCTAGCGGCTGTAATAGCCGGTCTGGCCGGTTGATGAGTTTGTACTGCTGGTCTTTGCGGGCGATATTGAAGTGCCGGGCGAATTTGAGGGCTTGTGATTGGTGCTGGTAAACTCTGGTCTGTTAAACTAAAGACAAACAAACATAATGATACAGTTCAAGTACAGATCCCACACGTAAATAAATCAATGCAAAAATATCTGCTACAGTCGAAAACAACGTAATAATTAAGATTCCAATAACTTCGAACATTTTGTTACCATTTCTTATATATAAATTAGTCGGCATGCTTTTTTCACAATAAGTACTTTTTCACAAGAATATATTATAAGTGTTGACCATTCCGAAATCAAATTATAAGACTACATGCCAGTAAGAGATTTCTTAAAATATGAAATAATTATAAATACCATAGCATGATTTCGTAAATCTTGTCATCGCCGTATGAACTTACTGTCCTTTTCCCATTTTCCCAACGAACCTGTCATAACAATATGTCATAAATATATTTATCTATACATATTGATCGAAAATCGTATGCTTCTTTCATATGATACTTCTAAATGTTCTATATTTATTCTAATAACTGAAGGTTAAGATATAGAAAGAGCATCGACACAAGAGGCTGTCTGATTTATACGAGGGGCGTAGCACCCAAGTATTAATCAGATTGCCGAGTGTTTTGATGTTCTTTCTCTTTTGTATCATAGTCACACATAAAACACGTTCCCTGTTGTCACAATATGAAACCCCAGAAAAAAGTAACAAATGAAGAGCATCTGAATATGATATATTATGTCGCTTTCCCTTTCTCTGCCGTCACAATAAGTAAACCCCAGCAAAAATGAGCCAATCAATGGAAATGCTCTGGAGTGCGGGTCACTAATACCTGCACTCCTATTTACGCACTGTGTATGTTTATGTATACGATTTAACTAGGACACATTTTTAACAGAAATGTCCCCAAACTATGATACAACAAACTTATTCCAACATTACACAAGTCATTTTGAAAACAGCTTTTATTGCAATTATTTTGAATGTTTGGTTATTCGAAATTATTTCAAATGTCTTAGATTATTAGTGTGCGAGTATTAATTACCACTGCTTTTCTAGTACCACTTCGAGAACCCATATTTATAATTACACCTCTACTTCCTTCTGGCGCTTCATCGTCTCTCCAATCTTTACCTTGAAAAATTAAAACAAATTTAATAGTTCTCTATACATTTGCTAAATGTTTATGATACACCACATAACAGTAGCACGTTTTAAATAACATACAACCTGAAAGATTTTAAGGAAAATGGACCATTCACGTATTGACCATTCTTGTGAATTTGATATTTTCCATCTAGACCTGTTACAAGTTAAGCAGCATAATGTAATTGCAGCAAAAGGTACTAGTAATTGACTTTGACATTTAGTAACCATACCTGTTGTTACAATACATCCGACTGCCAATGGTTGTCCGGGTAACAGAATTCTTGGTTCATCAACCGGAAGTACGCCATACAAATTCATATCACCGTAACTGTACTGTCTTATCTCTTCCGTCTTGTCCCAATGAACCCAAAGCATATCCCCTATCATGAAAGTAATGAAAAAAAATAATTACAGTATTATAGATATCATAATACTATAATGATGATAATGACGACATTGATAACGCTAATGGTTATGACAAAAATAATGCAGCGATGATGGTGATAACGATAATTACCATGATAATGATGACAATGACGGTGATTATATATGATGACAAAAAGATGATGACGATAGCAACAATGATGATGATGATGACAACAAACAAGTTGATGACAACGATGATGATGATGTTGATGACAACGATGATGACGAAGGTAATGCAGCAATGATGTTGATGATGACAACTATGATTATGACGATTATAACGATGATGATGATGACAACGATGATGATGACAACAATAATGATGACAACAACAGCAGTCGGATGATGATGATGACAACGATGATGATGACGATTACAACGATGATGATGATGATAACAACGATAATTATAATGACGAAGATAATGAAGCAATGATGTTGATGATGACAACAACGGTGATGATAACGATTACAACGATGATGATGATTACAATGATAATGATGACGATTTTAACCATGATAATGATGACAACCATTATTTAAAAGATAATGACAACGATAATGATTGCGATAACAGCGATGATGATGATGGTGACAACGACGAGGATAACAATACAATGACGTTGATGATGACAAAGATGAAATTGCTAAAATGACAACGATGATGATAATGATGATGGTGTTAATGACAACGATGACGATGATGACGAAAATAATGACAAGGTTGATAATGTTAATGAAGATTATGACAAAGATGATGATGATGACGATGATTGGGACGAAGATAATGACAGCGATGATAATGATGACGACAATGGCATTGACCCTTGCGATGATGATGATCTAACATTTTAGACATATACTGGGAATTTAAAGGGAAAAACAAGGTTAGAATAAAAACTTAATTTCAAAAAAAGAATACTATAAATAATAAATCTGCAAATTTTCTGCCGCCAAATAATTATATTAAACGAATGATAACAAAAATTTCAATCGCTAAATCACCGATTTCTACAAATCAGTAAGCGCAGCCATGTTTGATTATTGGCCGTATAAAAACAGGTGCGCGTGATGTCATTTCCCCACATCTTTAGATTCATGATAAATCTAGTTGAATCGTAAGGAAATATTAATATAATTAAGTATTGACCAGACAATTTAATTTTCACAGGAGGTGTAGAGGAGATTTTTTATGGTTCAAAATACGTAACAATATAAAAAAAAATAATAATAAATAATAAAGAAACGTACGGCTAGCTACGAAAGTTCTAGCCGTACGTGAGTCACGAACGACTAGCCAGGACGCACTGTATTAAAATTGTTGATTTTCATGCTTATAATTTGTTGTTTAATTTGTATGAATTATTTAATCATTTTTGTTAATTTAAAGCACATGGATCGAATAAAAAATGATCAGAGAGTGGAATAAATAAATGAAAATAACATTGAATGAAAAAAAAAAACGGTGAAATGCAAAAAATAATTATATAATTTTAAAAATAGTAGATAAATATCGAACATAAAAGCACAGTCAATCAATTAATTAGCCTTAAATAAAACCTATCCAGGGACTGACAATAGAATTTTAGAATGCCTTTTACGGAACATGCAAACTTTCCTTGATGGACAAACTTCTGTACAGTACCGTCGGTAATTGTCGCAATTATCAAGAGCCTAACAACAATCATTTTCAGTGTTTGTTGTTTTTTTTTTGTTTTTTTTTTCATATTAAAGGTGTCGAAAATTAAACTTAATGAAACAAAAAAGGATTATTATCAAAATTTTGTAAACTATTTTTATTGGTGTAAATGCAGGCAAAGGCTATTTTTTTGCTCGTACATCTTGCGAATGAACAAAGATCTTGATATATATAGCGATCAAGGCGATTAATCTCTAAAAAGTTAAACATTCCGAAAGACAATTCAATACTGTTTTCTTGGTTTAAATCCTCGCTTTAAAGTCATTAAAATAACATATGCATTTTGCGAACTTCATACAATTTTGAAAAGTGAGACCGTACGGCATAGCCAAATACAGTGTGTCCTTGCTAGTCGTACGTGACTCACGTACGGCTGACGGCTAAACTTTTGGCTAGCCGTACGGGCCCGTACGCTAAGCCACTTCCATTATAAAAACCCCTACTAAACGTGTTCTTAATAGTACATATAATTAAATTTTGGCAGTTTGATTTCTGACTTTAAAAATTATAAAGGGTTTGTGAACATATGTTATAATTGATTGTACACATTTCAAAAATATAAGCAACTCTTTTCAAAAGTAAATTGTTAACATGTCTGTCAACGTATGATGCTGCGCATCGTAATCGTAGCCTAATATTAACTGCAGGCAAATCATTTTTATTGGCTGGTCAAAAATCTAATTTGCATAATTTATTCACACAATTGCTGGTTCTTACTTCTTAATTACGTCTAATATTGCGCATTGTCCATTTTAATTGTTCCTAATTCCTGTCACACTGTGTACTGACGATTTTTATTGCTCCTTGTATGCCTCTGTGCCGACAGACCTTTTGATCATGCACAATGTTGCCCTGATTGGTTAATCACCCTTGTCATACATTCTTATGACGAAATAGACATCTATTTTTTTTACGCTTCATCAGTGAACTGAATGACTTTAGGGGGAATTAGGTTCCACACCGTAGTAAATTACAGCACGTCATAAAATAGCAACACATTTTTTTTCAGTTACCAATAATCATTTTAAATATTAAGTAGATATGTGATTTTTGTTTTATTGGATTAAATTTACGGTAGTAGAAATGCGCTTCTGTCGGGGAAAGGAATTTGGTAAGTAGATAACGTGGAAAAAAGCTTTAGGAACTGGATAAACCCGAGAATATGCGTAATTATAGGGGAATGGGCAACCTGTTGCTGTTGGTACCAGCTTTGACTGACTGCCTAAATAACCTAATGGACAGTTTTGTTTTCATACGATATTAATCTGGCTGCCGATTTTCCTGCGCCATTCTCATTTTAAGCGTCAATGGCGGAAAAACGCGTCCTCAGCATATTGGATTTAGTTGATATTTTACCTGAAAAAATGATACATGACCGGCGATGTACCCTATTTGGACAGCTTTTCTAGCGAAAATTAAGTACAAAATAAAAGGATATATCGTCAATTTGAAGAAGATTCTCATAGTACCTAATTAAGTTTATGGTTTATCTTTGAAAATTAAGCTGTCATTGCTTAAATCATGTGGTGGGATCATCATTCATCAGCAAGCTTGAATATCGGACAAATGATTATTAATGTCGCAGCGTCTTCAATTAATTAATTAAAACAATTCAGTTCCATATGATGTTTTTATAAATAATATATAATGTATGCAATAAAATTAATAAGTTCTTCATCAAGATATATTTCAGTTGTACCAGCGTGTACACCCATACCGGAAGTGGGTATAAGACGTCACAATCTCGGTCTCGTCTGTCTCGCGAGAATGACAGAACGCCAAAATGGCGGCGCCCATGAACTTATCTCTCAAGTAAAAAATAGTGTCTTTAAACACAAATTTCTCTCTTACTGGGTTGATGTCAATAGGAAAACTGTCATGGTTCCTCTTTTTAAATGATGAATATTTAAATTAGACAGACATCAATCCATCCATTCCTATTCCTTTAATGTCTCGTTATTGTAATAACTATTTTTACTTTATTCTGAATAACTTTGCATATTTCGTTCATAAACGAATGAGTTATTCTTACGGTAAAGATTATGCCCAACAACAGTTCCCGGTCCTTCGTCGTCCTCAACCCCGCTGGTCCAGTCTGGACCACGCCTCACACGAGAACCAAGTGGTAAAAGTCTTTCGTTAATGGCTTCCTGATACGGATTTTCTTCTTTTCTTTTCATTTCTTCAAAGTTTTTAGTGGTTGCGTCATCAATTATTTCTTGCATGTGAGCCTTAAATAGTTAAAATCGCGAGCTTAACATTAAAACTGCACCAAATTTATTGTTTCTTCGCTTAAAATTGTTGAATTTTTTTTAGTTTTACAATTTTTTTAGCTATTGATATACTAGTGAATCAAACCATGGTAGCAGAAGGTTATGTCTCAGACACAATCTAAAACAATGTCAAAAAATACCATTTGCTCTCACATCGACACATATAGATGAACTGGCGTGGTGACGAATTGCAATTTTGTTAACCGTTAACCTACTGTTACCAAAAGTGATCAGCCTTTGCCATCAATATAGAGCCAGACCAGCTTACACATTCATGCTGATTGTTAACCGCGTTAATTTTATGTAATTTTACATAAGATATTGAAAGCAAACAGGGCTAAAATTAAAACTTAACACCTTTCTTTTTTCCAGTTAATTTTTCCCCTTCTAGATGCGAATACAAAGGCTGCAAGCTCTCTACTGTCGTTTGCTCAATTATGACTACATGTATTGATATCGAAATGGTTTCAATATCGAATAGAAAAGTTTTAATTGAGCAATAACATAAATGAATTCCAAATTTATATCAGTACAGATCCATATTATCAGTTTAAGCAGTAGAGAGTAAAGAGACGAATTAAAGTACGAAATTAACATTTAAATCCCGAAGGGCAAAGACATTATGATATGAAATAATTATAACTAGTTAAAGCTTTGGTTATGTGACACAACACGTAATCGACGTATACCGTTAAAAATGTTAAAATGTATAAGATTGTAGCATAGTGTTTAGTTTTCAAAAGTACATACAAAATCTCGTGCTGTCAATTCCGGGTCCTGGCGTGGAATCTCATATTTAATGCCCAGAAAGAGATTTCGATATGGTTCCACCTTCCCCTACAGAAATAAAAAGATTTATCTATGATTTATTTAAGCTCTACTGCAAAACAAGTTCTTTGCAACTTATATTAATCCCTTCCGAGTCCGCTTCATGTAGCCATCTAGCCTGGGATTCAGACGTTGATATTTTTTACTTATTCATAACATACGTGCTATTTCATACTCGATCGTTTTTTGTCGATTTGCCGAAAAGAAGCATAGAAAGCGACAAACTGGAACCCAGTACTGGTATCATATGAAGAAACATGGCCGTGACCCAATTAGGCTTCCAACCAATGAGGCAGACATCATATACCATTAGGCAAACGCTTCCATTGTTTCTTCAGTTTCAAGTCATTAGATCACTTAAATAACTTAAACATGATGGTGAAAGAAAGTTTTAAACCTTTAGACGTCTAGCTGTTACATAATATGAGGTCTACCTTTATAAGCTTCAACATATTTTACTTCAGCAAAATTACAAACATGTATTATTATATGTCATAATTCATTCAAAATGAAATCATTGTCGTAACAATTACGAATCGAATGTTAGGTACTGCTATTTGTTAATCCTTAAAATTGATCCATGGAGTGAAATTATGTCAAGTTTACAAATTAATATTTTTTAGTCTAAGACAATTACCATCCACACAAATTATCTTTATTCTGTCCAAAAAAAACATCAAAAAATCAGAAGCTTCTCTTCTTCTTTTACTCATGCAGTAACTCGTTAAAAATTGTGTGTGCTACATTTTGCACAATATTTTCACCTGGAGTTTAAATTGAACTGTAGATATTTTTTTATTGGACCACGTGCAAACTCAAGCTAGAAACAAAAGATTTTTTAAAATTTTCATTTCCATATCACTAGTTTGATTGTAATTTATTGTTATTTCGGACAATACAAATATCATTTCGAACAAACAAAGGTCATTTCCTGAAAAAATATACTTACTGTAAGAAAGTATCGTCTCGAGAAATATTGACCATCCCTGTAGTTAAGAAATCGTCTACCACCTTCCTTTGAAAACAACAAGTTCAAGAAGTCCTAAAAGCAAAAATCATCGTATAAAAGGGAGTCCGACATTACAAGACAAGAAATTTTGTTTCAAAATTAATACTCCATTTGATGTGGTCTGACAAATAACTTGTGTGCAAAAATTCAGATCATTTACTAACTCCGTTTTCTTTTCCGAAATAATTATTAAAAATTTATAAATAAGCAAAATTGTGTAACAACGCTTTTTACTCAAAACGGGCTAACAATAGCACAAACATATTAATTTCAGTTTATTTTTGAATATACTTCTTAATTATGTTTTGCATATTTTTCTGTTTCAAGTACCCCTGCTGATCTTTGAAATAGTTAAAATTCTATGTTTTTACGTATTTAAGCCTCATTGGAGTTTCTTTCAATTGACATTTAATGAAACATTATTTTCTGTATAAGGTTCATTGTAACACACCACTGTTGTATTCATAATTTTTAACATTATATTTTGATGAATATCTAATGGGACAATTTTTTTGTTTCTATTATTGCTTCGTAAAGTAAGCAATATCTATCAAAATCTGTTATGATAATGTGCCACTCACATATTCTCTACAAAATAATAATATAATAAACAAACGTTTTGTTTCATCGATGTAAGTTAAACGAGTGACTGGATGCTATTTCTATAATTAAAACTAGAACACCGCCAGTCGGATGTGTTGCCTTGAATAACTGTCACTTAGGCATTTTCTTCTTAAAATCTCAATGAGATATATCGTCCTATGAAGTTTTTATTTCCAAAGTTTTTATAGTTTAAGAGAAATGGCCCGGCCGAAAATGAAAATTAACAAAGGGCAATAACTAAAGAAATAAGAAGGGCAGAGAACCAGTTTTTGTGCAGTGTACTTTTTACAATAAGATCTATCATCCTATGAAGTTCAAGTCCAAAGTTTTTGTAGTTTAGGAGAAATGACCCAGACAAAAATAAAGAAAGAAAATTAACAAAGGGCAATAATTCAAAAATCAGAGTATCGGTCTTTAAACACTGCACTTTATCTCAATGAGATCTATCATCCCATGAAGTTTCAAGTCCATAGCTTTTATACTTTATATAAAAAAGGGCAGTAACTCAAAAATTAAGAAGTGCAGAGACCGATTCCTGTGCACTGCACTTCTTCATAAAGGGATCTATCATCCTATGAAGTTTCAACACAATATCTTTTACTGTTAAGGAGAAATGGCCCGGACAAAAAGTATGAAAATTTACAAAGGACAATAACTCAAAAAATAATAAATGCAGAGTACCGGTTCCTGTACACTGCACTTCTTTTTATGAGATATATCATCCTATGAAATTTCAAGTTCATAACTTTTATATTTATATGAGGGCAATAACTAAAAAAATAAGAAATGCAGAGTAACGATTCTTGTGCATTGCACTTCGGGTTATTGAAAGAAGCATGCATACCAAGTTTGGAGTCAATCCGACTTAAAGTGACAGAGTTATGCTCCGGACAAGCCTTTGGGGACGCCGCCGACAACGACGCTGACGACAAAAGTAATTCTTTTCTTGCATGTCATACATGATTATCTACCGTTTACGCCGGTGCTAGAAAACCCTGTCTTACACCCCCCATGTAAGACAAGTCGCGTGCTTAAAATGACGTCATTGCTGCGCGCCTTTTATGAATGAATTTCGTTCTTAGGATGACGTCACTTAACCGTAATGAATGAAGTTGTATGTTCATACGCGTGTGCTACTATCAAACACCGGCTGTCGGTACAGACGGGAATATCTAGCTCTCGGGGTAACTGTTTAAGCGGAAACTCGGCAGAGCCTCGTTACCGCCGTAAACAGTTACCCTCGAGCTAGATATTCCGGTCTGTACCGGCAGCCAGTGTAAAGATATAATATGTCGCGATTTCAAGGCGACACAAAAACATCGAAGCAATTGCTTTGTTCTAAATAATGCACGTTTGTTTCTCCACTGTTCCACCGACTTAATATCCTTATTATATACTGTGATACAATGGTAATGTCATGCTTTTTTCATCTATAACCGGACGGCTTCCAGCCGCTGTAGATGTATTTTTATCTATCTAGAATGGGGGCCTTTATGTGTACATTTATATAGATATAAGAATACAGACACTTGTTGCCATATTATATTTCCCTTTCTTCTCATATTATATAAACATATCATTTTTGCGAGAAACAAAGATATACCTGTAGATAGAAATAATAAAATGTTGTGGCGCGGTCCTCAGTAGACCAAGAGCCTCTTTAATACAACAGTATAAACTATTCCTTAAATACTACTTCTCTTAAAACTTAACCTCTCAAAAAAACAACACCTCTTAAAAGCACCACCTCTAAACAAGAACCGAAACTTTCATCTCCGAAAGGGTGGTGCTCTGCGTAGGCTGTACTAAATAATTTAATGAGGTCTATTGCGAAAGGTTTTACCTTATTTGCGTCGCCAACTGGAACACAGAACAAATCTAGAGACCGTGATGACATTGATTCCATTAACACCACCGACAACGTCTTCGTCTGAGGCATATAGATTATCATTGTTACTCATTTGAGCCGTGTCACGACAAAACCAACATAGTGCATTTGCGACCAGCATGGATCCAGACAAGCATGCGCATCCGCACAGTCTGATCAGGATCCATGCTGTTCGCTATCAGTTTCTCTACGTGTAATAGGGTTTGTAAGCGAACTGCATGGGTCCTGATCAAACTGCGCGGATGCGCAGGCTGGTTTGGATCCATGTTGGCCGCAAACGCATTATGTTGGTTTTGTCATGACGCGGCTCATTTCCGTTTTAAAAGATTTTTTAAATTTCTAGATTAAAAAAAGGGTTATTTATATAAAAAGAAAAATGTATTTATATATAAATTTACCCGCGTTGATGACAAAATCGTACATCAATCAACGCCGACTCATGCAACAGCAAGTTCTAAAATGATTTCAAATATTAACCGTGTGAATTTCAATTTTGTTAAAACCTTTTTTTTTAACATTTTGAATCATACTAGTGAAATATATGTTGATAGTGAAAAAGCAGTGATCCAGAGGATAAACTACAAACATCACGAGTAAATCTGCTCAGACAATTTCATCGATCATACATTAATATGCGTTAATATGACACAATCAAGACTGTACATGCCGCTAACCCACACGTGTCCAAAATAGTGGAAGTCCAAAACTTCATACACCTATCTAAAATAAACATAGGTGATTTTACATATAAAAAAGTTACGACAGTGGAGAGGGTTATAAAAACTGGAGGAATACCTCGGCCATTTGTTTCGGGTCTGGAATATCTGGACCTCTATGGAGACAGATTTCAGTTGGTTCACCGTCAGTAATAAGAATTATCTTCGTATATATCATCAACCCGTTCCGTAGAGATATGAGGTCCTCTGAAAATATAGAAAATATATTGTATTACTGTATTGAAGCTGTCAGGTAACCTGGCATTCAGACGTTGATATTTTTATTTATTCATGATATACGCGCTTTTTCACACTCGATCGCGTTTTGCCAAACGGAAGCAAATGAAAAATCGACATAGTGGAACCCAGACTAGCTGGCAGGATAAATGCATGCAATATATAGAGAAATATTTCGGCATTATATATCTGGAAAAATGTAATCCCATGGAAGCAATAAAACAGTAAAATAAAATGAAAATTGCAGACTCCACTTGATTGAAACTGTACATCCGGGATAATAAAAAAGTTCAATATCCCTCATGTCCCCTGAGCGGTACATTTGAATGTGCTGGACCAAATTATCCCAAACGACCAAAATTATGTAACAAAATTGAAGAAAAGTACATGGTAACTTTTACGGCTGCCACACAGCACACGTGCTGTTGTGATGTATAGATATCTACTAAGTGATTAGTTGTTGTCGAAATGCCTAGATAATGGCGAAATATGACATCTGGTGGGAAGAAGAGGTATACTCGAATTGGTTATAACGGAAGAGGGGTGTGTAATATAACAGTACTGAACTAGTCTTGTTTTTAGGTACATTAAATTAGGAATAAAAAATGTCCAAAAAATCAAATGTCGAAAATTGCAATGCGTTATGCATTATGATTAAAAGTAATGGTTTCGTTGCCACGTAACCGACCATGATTGTCTTCATAGTAGGGCCGTCTTGTTTGCATTAATATGTAATGGTTTACTAGTAAATACCGGTTCAGAACATATCCATTTTTTAAGTTCTAGATTAATAACAATGGAATTCTTGCGCGTAAAGATTTGTTAATAAAAACAACCACTAAGTAAATGACTTACTTTCGCATGTAAGAGACACAGCATCTGCCATCATTAACCCTCCGTGTAAAGGGCTAGGTCCTCCAAGTTGTAACTTGTCTAAAATACGAAAAGATGTTAATGGAATATAACAACAATGCATAAGGGCATTATATATCGTTATATGTCGGTAAAAGATATATTTCAGACTTCTTTTATTCCACTCTCAGTAGAACAGTAACAGTTTGCTTTAATTGTAAATGTCATCTAAAAATTATGATCGGCAATGTATGCGGCTTTCAGGTTTTTTCTAAAGGTCAAATACGTAATTTTTAGATAAATCTTTCATATAATCGTCAAATCAAAAGAATCAAGGTGGAAAATGAAAGACATGAAGAGGTATTCAACAACGATCCAACGAGGATTCATAGTGATATTGACGTTTCTGCTTAATCAAAAAAAAGTGCTGAAAAATAAAATGTTCACTTACTAAATGCTGATCGTATTAAACTAAAGTCGTTCGTATAGCGTTGGTGACATCGTGTTTGTGCTCCAAAGGTCACTAATGCTAAATGTTCATCAGTTTTGTGTTTTGTATACATCTCTTCTAGCCCTATGTTATAGAAAGAACATACATATTACTTGTGCAAGCTAATTTGTCACAGAGCGACATAGTTTTTATTGTTTCTGACCTCAACAACACATAAACGAATCGTTTAGACACGATTTTGTGGTATCACGGCAGTTGTGTGGCAATACAACAGTATAAATATACGAAAAATATAAACACCACACCACAATAATTTCATGCCAACCATTATAAGTGCGTCTATTATTTATAGTTCTGACATTGGGTCAAACCTCAATTTTACACCAAAACATAAAAGAAAACGCTATGAGCATATTGTATGCGAACTGCAGTGTTCAATATTCGTAAAGTCGGCAGTTGAACAGCCTCAAGAAAACGAAGAATATTGCAAACATGATTTCAAACGATCAGAAATGCATTATGAGCACTCCCTTAGATCATTACTGCTTGCTTCACAAATTTTGAACGTCAGAATGAAAGAGTTTGAAGTTTAGCATCTTAAACTACAAATGTATAAAGATCATCATGTTGAAAAAACGTATAATGATCTATGGAAGTGCTAATAATGCATTTCTTTGTATCTTCGTTATTTATCTTAAGACTGCTAAGCTGCAAACTTCAGTCTGCCAGGCTGCTAGTGTATCAACTTCATCAAACATAAGAGTGTCGTTGATTTCTAATGTCCTCATCACATTCGCTCAGCAGAACGAAATATATAAGAACATTTATATAATGCAATGACATAAATTTATCAACAATATTGTGGAAACCACTATGATTAATAAGCAATTTACCATCAACGTAATCGTTCACAAATGTCGTCACTTGACGCCACGTGTCACCAGCTGCCATACTTTCTGACGTGTCAATCAAAAGTATTGTTGTCACTTTTTCAAGTTTACGTAATGGTGTCTTTTGTGCTAGAACAAGAAAAACAGGAACTCACATTGTAGAAAGAGAAAAACTCTTAGACACTTTATTTTATAACCCAATGTAATTTAAGTTTATTGAGACCCGAAAAAAAGCTTACATGTATTTACATTCATTTCAGGTTAATCAAAATTTGTATCAGATTAAAGGCAAATTCAACCCTTCATATGTATATGAAGAGTTGAATTCAACATTTAATTTGACTCCTTATGAAGGGTTCGTGTTTTTATTTAATTTGAAATGAATTTTTAAAAAAAATATATCTTTGTGACACGTAAATAATTCCAATCACCAGCGTCATACTTATATTATTGCCAGAAATCAGTAAGAATGTCTGATTACTACGTTTGCAAAGATCACTAGATCACAAGATCACTAAATGCAGGACGTTCTACGTTCATATGTTTACAAAAAGCGATTGTCTCAAATTATACTTCTTACAAATACATATATAATGAACAATTGCAGGTAACCAGCTGAATGTTTTAATATAAAATAATGTTAATTTTCTTACATGCAATTAGTTCTCCTTTAGCCTCTACTTCCCAAACATCAGGAGATAGATAATACTCTTTTTCTTTTTGTCTTTCAACCACTGGAAGACCGCCACGTGCTTGTTCTAAAGCAGACGCAGTAGCAGAAGAACTCGGCTGCCTCAAAGCTGCGAATCAAACAAGAAATAAATTAGTTATAATACAAACTCCAATTATTTGGTGGTAAACCTTTAAGTAGTGAAACAGAATATATATAAGTTCAAAATACCCCGAACTTAGTCAAGTTAACGTTCCTTATCATTTTAAAGGCATATTATGCCTCAGAAACGAATAAAAAATTGATTTTAGAAAGAGCAAACATGATCTCAATTACGTTTACATAATGCTAAGTATAAATCTATTTTACATAAAAGTAGGAAAAGTTAAACAAAGTTGTATTTTGACTCCCTTACAAAATACTGAATCACTTTAACTTTACTAACTGTCAAGAAACAACACAAGAAAAAGATGATTTAGGTATTTGGCCGGTCAGTAATTTTTTGTTCACTACAAACTATGCAAAAAAGAGGAATATCATATCAATTACCAACTTCCGTCGAATGTTTAAAGTTTGGCTTCTGTATATTGTCACGACTGAAAGTAATAAAAAATGATTGTGTTATAATAATATTATCAAATTTAGTTTATATTCTAATATTGAATCAATTTTTAGGAACATTGAATACGGACGCTTTAAGTGATATTTAAATGTGTATACGTTAATTTTAAAGTGTGTTGAAAGGTAATCAAGTGTACTCAAGAATTATATTATTTTAAAAACATTTAACAATCATTTTTAACTTAAACCGATTTACAGAATTTACTTTTGTTGATTTCAAATTATATTACTTTGGCTCTTCATCCCTTGGTAATTGAAGATTAGCAGATTGTGTATAAGAGTTCCTGTTTCTGGACCCAGGATTCTGTTTATGCTGTTCACGTTTTTCACCACGAGACTCTGGTCGTAGTTCAAGTCTTTTATTTGTATCATTCTGCTCATTATCACTGTCGAAACTTTTGTCATGGTTACCGCGCGAATCTGATCGTCGCCTTTCTGAGCTACTGCCTTTTCTTTCACCTGATCTGTTTCCATCATTTCTTTCATTAGTTTGACGTGACCTATTAGTTACATTTGGCGCTTTGTTTCTTGGTTCTATATCTGCTTTTTCTTTTCGACTGTCTATTTTAGGAATGACTGTTTTAGAAGAAGTAGCGGTGTCTGCGGTGCGCATATTTGCAATTTCTTTACTTAATTGTTCTAATTTTCTATCTCGAGCTTTGTCTTCAAGATCCTTTTCTGATAATCTATTGTTAATTCCTTTCATTTGTCGGAACAAATCCTTCATTTCTGAAAATGAGAAAACAATCATATTTCCAATATAAACTCGACGAAAAATCTGTCCATCACATAATGTTAGTTATGTTTCTTATTTCTACACTTGTTTTTATTTGTATGAAATATTTAAACACCACGCATGTGCTCAATGTAACAAAAATGCCATTATCTTAAAATATCAGTTCCTTAATACGTTAAAGACAAATTTATGAATTGTCAGTCTTTCACTTTCTTGTATCCGACCGAAATGGAAGGAAAATGATTTACATGTTTTATATGTAGTAATTTAAATCATACTGACTTTGGCCTTTTATAACAACATGTCGACATTTAAAGTGTACATTTAAGTTTTAAGTTTTTTTAACCCTTAATTGCTGGAACAGAAAGTGATTAGCGTTTGCCACCAGTATAGAACAAAAAATTGCACTGATGTTGCTAGTTCAATTTTATTACAATGTTTTTTTTGTTTTTTTTTTATATTGACACCTTAAACTTTGAATGGACTGCTCAAGATTAATCCATGACACAAATTCAGCAGATTCAAGATTAGTTATTAGTATATTATAGCAATTTAAACACAAAACGTTTGACAAGATAATCATTTTCGATATACACTTTAAAGTATATTGAGAAAAAAAATCAAACATACGTGATTCTGTCCCTTTGTAAAACGTAATGCTGCAAAAGAAATGTTACAAAATATAAGCATTTTAAAAAGAAATCGAATATAATATTAATGGATTTGGAACGTACACAGTCCCCCGACAACATTAGGGCTACACAGGGCAATCAGAAAAGCTCGTAAAAAGGCAACGAATACAAAAATACATGCGATTTGAAGGATGATATCTAACTTCAATAAGTCGCAAATGCTGAATGGTCATATATAACCGATCCACTTTAACCCATTACTTCATGAAATGGCTATTTTCATTAAAAAGTCTCCCGTTACAAGTTCAAATTGCTATAATTCTATAAAAACTGCTTCAACACTAATCAAACTTGGCACAATATTGACTGGACCATTGCCCTTGCAACAACATGCTCAGGCTTAAATTTTCTGTAACCATGGCAACGAGGGGACATCTCAAAATTGCCAAAAATCACTATTTTGTGTTGTTTTTTTTTCAATCATAATTGATTTCAAAGTGCTGCAACTTCTCAATGGATTGAGATAGAGTCAAATGCTTTTCAGCGTTGGTTACACGTTACCTTATGATCAATCTGTGATCATTTATAGCCTCTCACAAGTCCAAAATTTTCTTGGCAATGTGGGGGACTCTGTCCCCCTTCAAACCCCCCAAACAGAAGGGGGCGCATCCCCCTTCTGGCAACCCCCTGATGTATCTTTGGTTGGGGGCCGCGCCGAAAAAGTGGTCACTTTTTTAACAACATTTCTCAAACAAAAACAAGTGTTTAGGGCCTAAATAAGGCATTTTTTCAACATTTGAGACAACAAAATGCGGGGGGGGGGGGGGTGAAAAAGGCGTTAAAAGGCATGTATATGACGTAATGGGTTAAGAGAATAAATATGAATTTTGTAAAGGAAAGACGTGTTTATGTTCTATCGCTATTTTGTGAAGCCCACTTGATAATATCATTACTCTAAGCAACAAAACAATAAGAGCATATAGAATATTAAACAAACCAGCTACAAAGATCTCCTTGGCAACCAGATTCGTCAAATAGTTTATCAAAACGTTTCTTCAACGATGATAAGAAATTTTCCATCTCCTCCACCTTTTCCTTTATCTCAAGTACCTGTAAAACAAAAATGTAATTATATGACGGCTCGACGCATATAGGGTAACAACCCTTTATTATGATCATATTAACGTATCAACATGTTTTATATTTAATGAAATGTATTTATATACTAGTATAAGAAAAAAAGCCATAACCGGTGATGTCATTTTACACATCAATATATAAAAATTTAGGTGTTTCTGTGCTTGATTTTAAATAATATTAAAACATGAGAATAAAGATCAACAAGGCAAAGCAACGTTTACAGAACGCAACCCCCGAGATAAAATATGATTGTATAAATGTGTGTTTTACTTTTAAAGATTCTTACCACCAGATAAGCCAAACCATTTTAAGAAAATCAAACTTAACATACATTTACTAAGATTTAAGAAAAGTTCAAAGATCAACATTGAATTTATAATTTACGTGTTATGTGCGATAAATGTCTGATTTTGTAGTACAAATATTTATCTGCGGACTAAAGCAGTATGGGCTATTTTTGTAAATTTTGACCTCTCTTTTTTAATTTACGTAAATTGTAAGTTCCGTGTTTAAATTATATAAATTATAACTTTCTCTGTTCATATCACAATATTTCATTCAGCCAAAATACATAAATAAGACTTTCATTAAAATCTGTCAAAAAAAACCACCATAGAAGATGACTCTTGTATACATGTAGTTCCTAGCAACGTTGAGGTATACACGTGCACGAAATCATTGCAAAAGGAAGGAGACGTTTTGTTACGGGTGGTTTCATTCTAATATTTTATATAATTACGATAAATATCAATGAAAAATCCTACTTTCGCTTTGCATGCATTTTATTAATGGTTTATGAAAAAACGTATAGATGTGGTAAATTAAAAACAACGTGATCGTATAGTTTTTTTAAAAATATTATATGCATGTTGTACACATTCCCAGCTTTTTAACGTAAATTTATAAAATGCAGCTAGACAAGTTTGCTCGTTTGTTTGTTTTATTGTTGTTGTTTTTTTAAACTATGTATTCTTTCTTAAATTAAAAAAAATCAAGTAAATCTTACCATTCCCTCCATGACTGTGTAGAGTTGATTATACTGAAATGCAAAACAGTTTTATTTGCACACACAATCCATTTTTCAGTAGGTTTACTTTATCTTTATATTTAAATTTTTACCAAAAGTTACAATTAATGAAAATGACTTTTTATAAAACTTGCTTTATACAACATTCCTTATCAAATTTTGACTATGATCTAAAACTAAAATGATCTCAAAAATCTTGAAAACTATACCAAGGATTTTCCAAATAAATTCCATATTAGTCTTTTTCAGACACCTTTGATAAAATGCATGCAAATCGAAAGTAGGCTTTTCCAGTGTGATTTTGGGTCAAAATTTATCGGCCCGTTTATTGTACCAAACGTTTTTCAAATAATACTTCCGTGTTCTAATTTACATTATAAACAAACTAGGGTCCAATTGTAATTTGTAACAACTTTTCAGGATGATATAATTATGTGTTATTTTCTTGAAGATAATAGTGAACAATTAAAGCGGAAATGCAAATTTGTCAAGCATAAGTCATGTAAGTTATCAATATAAAAAACACAAATTTTGAATTCGCTTGAATTCGCTAATTTTGTAATTATTATTATTATGCCAATACTTTTTTTCTATCATGTATTCATAAAATTGTCATTTTCATCTGCTTTATTAAACAGTCGTGTTTCAAAGACGCATTTAATCAATATGGCTCCCAAGATAAAACAAAGATTTGTCCATGTATATATGTAAATACCCGAAAATCATACAGAATAAAGATATGGAGCGAATCCATGGGACAGTGGTTATGTGCTACGCTAGTAATGCAGTTGTTGCAGGTTCCATCCGCCGTTTTTCCAATAAAACTTATAATTGTCTTTCGGATGAGACCAAATAAAAATCAAAGTTAAATGTATCTCTACTCTACATCGAGGATTTAAAAAGAAACGGGACAAAAACTGTCAACTGCACTACCCAACTCTGCATGTCCATCAAAATATTGGCGGCAAGAAACAAGATGGAAACGATTCTTTACACACAAATTTGTTGTAACTTTGTAGCTAGAACCTAATCGCGTTCTATGTGAATTTATTTCAGTCGAGAGGGGCAGTTAGTCAAATGAAAACCGGGTTGTGATACAGATTATATTAACAATACAAATCAGTGGAAATGATGGATCAGATTTAATATTTTGTATAACTTTAAGACTTGCAGATCAGTTTGAACATTTTATAAAGCTTGTTATTTGATATATACTTAATTAAAATTAATATCCTTCTTGTAAAGTATTTTACCAACCATTTGTGACGAATAATTGTGCCCATAAATTTGCTAAAATTCTAAATAAAATACATCTAAAACCACGTGGTAGAACTACTTTCAATCCGTATTAAGTCCGAGGTTATTATGAATAATAGCCGAGACATTCCCTTTGTCATTCACTCGGTATCTCTGTTCTGGCATGTACAGAAGTAACTATTGCAGTTTCTTCATTTAGTACAGTAACTAGTAAACTTCTTGACATCTTGCTCATGAACTGAAATGTGCTCTGGTTAATTTAAAGTGGCTTACTGTCGTGATCTAGAATGTAAACTACTAATACCGCTCTTTGTAAAACAATTAACTAGTTAATTAGCCAGTATTTGCATGAGTAAGGCAATGTAAAACTACCATGTGTATTTTCTTCTCTTTTATAAGGCAATACTTGAATCTCAAGTCAAGCCATCAAAATTAATAAGATAAAACACTATCAAATTTTAGAGATATAAACAACTTTATTTGAGTACCTTTTCCTTAGCATTTAAACTAATACCATTTTATAATATTTCAGGTTATTTGTAAACCTTTGCGCTTATATGTAATACAAGAATACATGTATTTATAAATCAAAGGCAGCCAACCATGGACTTAATACAGAGGTAAAGTGTAATACAATCTTAGAAGCATTAATATTTTAAACATTTAATTTACCCGGACCAAAAACGAAAGTAAATTTGGACAACAAAACAAATCTGAAAGAAAAATATACGTCTTAGACACAGCTCGATCACGTGAGTATCATTTCTTATTTACGTACCGGAGATAAATAAATTTACCATCTATATTAAGATAAGAAATAAATATATCGAACATGTAATATGTTTTTCAATGTACTTTCGTTTTTATATTTAAGATGAATTTGCTTGAAGTATTTTGTAAATCTCTCATTTGTTAGTTTTTAAATCTGCCTCTCCGTTTGAGTAAACATCATCATTTGTTTAATGGTAAGATATAACCAACTTTCGGTTTTAATAAAAAAAATCCTTATTTGCAACTTCATATATATTTACTCAATTTACTATATCGCATGTATATAAATAGAATTACATTTAACATTTATATCGGGTTAATCTTGTTAGGAAATCGATTCGTTGAAATATTTGTTTTCAATATTGATTAAAATTGTTTGGGTTGATGTATGTACTTTCGGTTTGACTTTATATGCAATATATTAGTATACTAGTATTAGTACGAGAATTAGTGTCTATTTGAAGAGATTAGAGAATATGCTGACTAAGCATTTAGCTTTTATTTTACCGCCTTGATTAATACAAATGTTAAGTAATTCAATCATCAACTTTTAGTTTGAATTAAAGATTTAAAAAGATTCTATACAATCTATAGATCAAAGTTAATATCTAATTAGTGCAACTAATTTTAATTGCAATTAATTTCAATCTTTTCTTTAAAGGCCCATTATGCATCAGAAATACTTTAATTTTATTTCTCAATTTTATTTTTTGGTATTTTTTTTATTGTTTCCAGTACGTTTCTTACTGGCCAATTACCTAAACAGTCTTTTTCTTCTGTTGATTTTTGGCAATTAGTACATTTATAATGATTTAATATTTTGTATGGAAGTAAAAATACTACTTTGTTTACATTTAGCTACTTGTATAACATAATATTTAACATTTAGCGCTATTTTCTTCAGTTAACAAGCATGTGGCATGCTATAAAAACATTGTTTAAAGTTTAATAAACATTATAAAACTCATGTCTGACCTTTTTAAAGAAGTAAATATGTATTCATTTCTGAGGCATAATATGCCTTTAAGCATTAAAGATGTATTAATACTCTCTATTTGTACATTTAAATTACATTGTAGTATACTATAAAAGTCATTCTAACGAACGAAGATAATGGGCGGTGACAGTGTACCTGCTGACTCAGAAACGATTGCATCTCGCTTCTTGTTTTTGACTGCTATTGTCGCAGGAATATTCTTAGGGTATGTATTAACTGTATTTTCAACTTTACAAAGCAAGACCAAATATTAACAACTTCGTAAGTCATATCTTGTATTTGGAACGGCCTTCCTCATTATATCAAGTCAGCTAAATCTGTAAACCATTTTAAAACCTTATACTTAAGATGTTATCATACACCGGTCTCTATTATAATAATTAGCGTCAATTCCATACTATAAATTGATAACTCTGTCTTTAAAATAACATGTATGTAACATTTTATGTATTTTGATAGTTTGAATATGTTAAATCTATATTGATGCTTGTTGAGGGCCTCATGGAGTTCAAACGAGTTCTCTCGTTAAATAAAGTCTTATTATTATTATTATTATTATTATTATTATCATCATCATCATCATCATCATCATCATCATCATCATCATCATCATCATCATTAACTTCATAATAATAATAAAAATTATTATTATTATTATTATTATTGTTGTTGTCATTATTTTAAATAAACAAAATATACCTTTTTATATGTTGAACGAATTACAGCCTGTATTAAACGAATAATGTTATAAGAGTACAATACTGAATTATATTGGATGTGTATACAGCTTTACAGGACGAGATGCAACTTGAGTCCAATTTAGCTTGGTTTTGCAGCTTTATACAAGTATCATTATCATCATGAAGTTATAAATCAAATCAATCAATTCCGTCAAACATAAATGTTCACTTATATTACAGGACACATTTCATCAAGTCTGAACAAGAACCGGAAGTTTTATTACCAAGGTAGGTTAAAATTTGCCGTTAGAATGAAAAATAGATAGAGGACGTTTAAGCTTTTCTTATAAATAATGTTGTTTTTTTTTATCACCAAGTGGTATAGACCTTTTTACGACGCGGTCCGTTGCTATGAAAAATTGACCGGAAGTAGTATTTTCTCGCGCATACGCCATCTGCGTAGGGCAAAAAGTGCATAGTCCTTAATAGAAATGTAGTAGAAAATTCATAGACAATTCCGAGTTAGTTTAAGGTAAAAATTAGAAAATCATATAAAATAGCTTTTAATATAAACACAAAAGATACTTTTATAGCTTTGTGGCCAAGAGTGTCATAAAAAGGCATGGGAAAGATGTTTGTTGAAGGATTCCGCCTTACGATCACGGACCTGACATCGAAATAATTGTTGTAAAAAAATGTGGAAATATGTATATTGGTAAATAAAGAAGTCAATTTAATTGTTGTTGAAATTGTCCATATAAAAGCAAGAGAAATTTTATATAAAAAATAACATATAAAATCGAGTTTAATTATCATTCTGTAATAAGTCGGAACACATGATAATGCATTTTTAGTTTTCAGTTTACCTAATTTTATCCTTTATCCAATTTACTGGAATGCCAAACAGAAATGTTTTAAGTCACATAAATATATTTAAATAATTTTTCAAACTCTTGAGAAGTTAAGATGGGTGGTGAAATAAGACACATTTTATCCGGTTCCTCGTAACACATGACAATGCATGTCACGTATACTAATTGTCACTTCACAAAATTAATAAACATTGATGAGACTGGTATAAATAAAAGTAACTTAAAATACGATTATCATAATTTTAAGTGATTAACTATGTCATGGTACTAAAACGTCCCGGTTGAATGATATTGTACACTATAGTTGGCAAATAACAGCCGGTCACGTGTCAATCCGTTTGACACTTACTGCCTTGCCGATCCACTTTCAAAGGCATACCAATATTGTGTAATATTATGTAATACATCGGTAATAAAATTTATCTTTAACTGATGAAATGAAACCTTGAACAGAGGACTTTTGGTCATTGAATTATTAGTCCCGCTAATTTTGTATATCTATTATAAATATCAATTCACGTTTTAAGTACTAACCGCTTTAATTCATCCCAAATTTTCTGTTTTCTGGGTGTCATAACTTATAATCACGTCTTTTAAAGCCTTCAACAACGCTAAATATAGTCTATCTTTATTGCGCTTTTGCCCTACGCAGAATGCGCAAGCGCAAAATGCAGCATCGGTTGCTATGGAGAAATCGCATTGTAAAAAGGTCTATAAAATAAAATCAATATTTCATGAGTGGCGGTAACCACGAGTGAAATATGATAATTTTTGAATATAGAAAATACTTGAATTTTCTGTTTATCATATACTTTTTTTGTTTCTTGAGTTTACAATTCGAAAGATTTTTTTTTTATTTTGTGTATTGGCTGAATTAAGAAAAAACTATGGAGGTATGGAAAATAAAAATATGAATTTTATCATATAAATATTTCTCAAAATTTCATTAATAAGCATATAATAAAGGCACATAGGAGATCGATTCCTGAATAAAATTGAATTCATTCAATACGATTTGCTTTTACGATATTTTTTACAATGATGCATGACTTTAAGCGTAACATCAATAAGTGTTCATTTCGAAAGTTTCCTACCTATCACAAATTTTATAAATCTAAAATATATTTATAACAAATATACTTAGAAGTTATAAAGCGTACTCACATTGTGTACACTATTTCATATTTCAGTCAAGTGGAGGCGTTGAGAGCTGAAATGGCAAAGGAATTCAAGGTGAAAGAAGATGCTTTAAAAAAGTAAGTGCGTTGTGCTTCTGTTGTTGTTATTGTTGTTTCTGAATGTTACATATTAAAAACAGTGCTTATACAACCCATAAAGATAATCATAATCAGATCAAAATATTAAAAATACCCTTCTTTGTGTTAGTAACGCAGTAGAAATATGATAATACATACAGAAAAAAATCAATCATCAATCGCGCATATTATGTAAATTATTACTCTACTCTTGAATCTTTTTACTCTTCTTAAAATCGTGATACATTAAATTTTCATACCACGAGATGAAACTACATCCTGTATTTATAAAAAATACTTGAATTTTCTGTTTATCATATACTTTTTTCTGTTTCTTGAGCTCACAGTTCGAAAGATTTTTTTGATTTTGTGTATTGGCTGAATTTAAAAGAAACTAGTCCAGACACCAGTGAAAATTCGGAAAATATGTTTCACTGTAGTGAAAAATGTGAAAAATATTTTTTTCATTGGAGATATGTAAAATAAAAATATGCATTTTATTATACAAATATTTATCAAAATTTCATTAATAAGTATTATAATAAAGGCACATAGGTGATCGATTCCTGAAAAAAAATTGAATTCATTCAATATGTTTTGCTTTTACGATATTTTTAGAATGAAGCATGACTTTAAGTGCGATGTCATCAAATCATTGCCGCGGAATACATTTCCGAAATACATTTCCTTTAACTCCAGTACATTAATAAGTGTTCATTTCGAAAGTTTTTCTACTACCGAATTTGGACTTTTATAACTTTAAACTGTATATAATAAATATAAGCATACGTACATTGTGTAAACTATTTCATATTTCAGTCAAGTGGAGGTGTTGAAAGCAGACATGGAAAAGGAATTTAATGTGAAGGAAGATGCATTGAAAAAGTAAGTGCGTTGTGCTTCTGATGTGGTTATTGTTGTTTCTGTATGTTGTATTTATGTATTGTCCAGGTCAAGCAAATATAACTGGCAAGACGAACTTGTTTGGTATGAGATAAAACACAACACTTAGGTTGAATGAAATAGGGCATTTATTAAATGCCATAAATGACAAATGTTACATAATAACAAACATGGCATGTACATTATTTGTATCGAAATAACCAAACTGGGAGGTAAAAACCGCCAGATTATGATATACATTGCAATGTAATGATTAAGCACAAGATCAAAATAAACTATGAAATAGATAACAATCTTAGCAAAAGTTGTAATAGATGACAAAGTTGAACTAAAAACCATCTACACAAATATAATAATATGGATTGCTGATCAAAAACCATTAAATAAAAAATATTTTTCCAAATCGTGGTCGACTCGCCCAGGAAAAACCATAGTCTGGAAACTTGTGCCCTTTCATCTTGTGTCTAGTACCACTTGATGTAGGGCTACATCCTTGAAAAATATTTTAAACATTCTATACATGAATAAGTGTATTTCATATGACTAGATCATAAGTATTTATGACAACAAATAAAAAATTTTGAAAGAGATAATATAACATTGACTAGTTTTAAAAATTTTTGCATGAACAATATACATATATATATATATATAGTGTACATGATGAATAGTTGCACAAGTATTTTGAGATAAACAATAAGTAAAACTACTGATTCATGAACAATAAATGAAATGGTATTTATAGCAACATCAAAAATTGAAAGAGGTGGATGGAGTTGGAGGAGGTGGATTTTAGTAAAAAACAAAGGCGAGAATCATTCCTCGCCAAAATTATTTCTTTGTGATAGATCTAATGTAATCATTGGTTAATTAACATCACGTGATTTAGGTCTTGATATTGATTGGCTAAGATGTACTTGGCTAAAACCCGACCCGTAACGGGTAATATTCAGTACAGTAATGAGAATAGGGACGGACCAATGACATAAATTATTTTATGTGGGCATAAAATCTTATTTATGTATTGTCCAGGTCAAGCAAATATAACTGGCAAGACGAACTTGTTTGGTATGAGATAAAACACAACACTTAGGTTGAATGAAATAGGGCATTTATTAAATGCCATAAATGACAAATGTTACATAATAACAAACATGGCATGTAAATATTTGTATCGAAATAACCAAACTGGGAGGTAAAAACCGCCACAAAGGGAACCTTCCGCCTTATATATACACAACAACAAAGTATATGTCATTGCGCCCAGACTGTATCTAATATTAAGTATTTAATTTAATTTTAAATTCTAATGTTTTTAATTTTATTTAATCAAATCGTATATGCATTATAAAAATCAGAATTCTTTCATCTACAGACAAGTGACGGATGTACAAATTGAAGCGGGAAAAGAACGCGAGGCGAAAGAAGACGCTATAACACGGTAATCATTACATGATGGTTTTCAGATTTCAGATTTTATTTTCAATATATGCAAAAGTCCCACAATAGCGGGAAACATAAGTAAATTGTGACATACATAAATGCATAAATACATACATAGAATCACATAACATAATGTAGTAGAAAACGGCTATTGAGATTTCCAAGAACAGAGCCTAACACATTCATATTTATTTAAGCTATAAAATTGAGCTGGGTATATATATGTAAGTGAAAAGAATAATTATTACAAAATTCAATCATCAAAGACACACAAAAAGAAAAAAGGTCATAAACTTATCTTTCGCATATAGTAATTTAAGACATGATTTAAAATTGTCTAGTAAAACACATCAAGTTCCAATAAAATGTTGCATTATTTTCATACAAAAAAATACTAAGATTCTTTAGTTTATTTGTATTTTCCGATGTGACCAGGCTTACAAATTTAAACATACTTGGCCTATTTATGTAAAAATTATCTATGTATATTTTTCTATCATTTTCAAATTCTGGACATACAAAAAGATAATGAAATTCATCGCCAATATCGTTACATATATTACATTTACGGTCTTGAATAGGTATATTCTGCCATCGTCCTATTTCAATTGGAAGGCGATGATTTCTTGTCAAAAATAGTAATAATTTATTAGCTAAATTGCTTGGTAGTTTATCTATGTAACAGCTTCTAGAAAAATCCTTTTTGATATATTTGTAAACGTTTGTATCAGAAGTGTTATTTAGTTCAGAACGCCAATTTTGCGAGTAAATATCTTTTAACTTTTGAAATGTTGTTTGTATCAACCACTTACTATTGCTAAAACTTTCTATGTACCAAATCCCAGAAAAACCAGTTTCACATAAATATTGTTTTACATTTTCTATCCACAGTGATTTAACTTTATTATCTATATGTAATTTACGTAAGAAAATATAAACCTTTGAAGATAATTTTGTTGGTTCATCACTATTGATATTTTCAATAAGTCTTGCCCAAAATGTAATTACTCTGTGTTTGATATGCACACTGAGTGGTAGGACACCTGTTTCACCATATATCATATAAGACGGGGTTGACTTTTTAAATTTAAATATATATTTGAGAAATTTCAGCTGAATTCTCTCTAAAACATTAACATTTCCATATCCCCAAATTTCGCTTCCGTACAGTAAAATAGGCTTGATAGTTTTTTCAAATAATTCAATTTGTAGGTCAAATGGTAAAGCCAAAGTTTTAATTTTCCTCAGTAATGCAAATAGTGCTTTATTAGCTTGTTCAGCTATTTGTATTTTAGATTTATAAAACGAACCACTTTTATTGAAATATATCCCTAAATATTTATATTCATTTACAATTTCCAAGACATGTTGCCCAATTTTAAAAACATTATTTATTTTTGGACGCCCTTTACTAAATATCATAACTTTGGTTTTATTTACATTAATATTTAATTTCCACGTTTCACAATATAATTTAAACTGATCTAAAGCCTTTTGAAGATCAATTTCATTTTCACTGAAGATCACTGTATCGTCGGCATAAAGCAAAATAAAAAGTTTAAGATAGACATGTACGCCTTCAATAATTGTATCTCTTGAAACTCCGTTAATATCGTTGCTTTGTAAAAAGTATTCCAAGTCATTCAAAAATATAGAAAATAAAAATGGCGATAAATTTTCCCCTTGTCGTACCCCAATTAAACAATCGAAAAAGGGGGTGCTTCCTTCATTTGTGCTTACTTGAGACTTAATATTTTCATACAAACTTTTTATAACGTTAAAGCATTTTCCATTAATATTTTCTTGTCTTATTTTTTGCCATAGTCCTATTCTCCATACAGAGTCAAATGCTTGCTTAAAGTCTACAAAATAACAAAAAAGTTTTCGTCTGCTTGACTGGACAATATCGATTAAGGACTTTAGAATGAATATATTATCAACTGTCGAATGTTTCTTACGAAAACCAGCTTGTGTCTCATGTATAAGGTTTGAGTCATTTGCAAATTTATTTAACCTATTATTTATTATGCTTGTAAAAAGTTTTCCGAGACAATTTCCTTTGTTTTTGTATATGGGTTTTATAGTTCCTATTGTCCAGCTTTCTGGAATTACTCCTTTGTCAAAAACAATATTGAATAATTTCTTATATATACTTAACATTAAGTTAATTGAATTTTTTATTTGTTCATTTACAATTTCATCTACACCTGGTGATTTATTTGTTTTTAGATTTTTAACATTATCTAATATTTCCTTTTCTGTAATTGGGCCATTTATGTCCTCATTTTCAGTAAAAGAGTTTCTTATACCGTTATATTGATACTCTTCATTTGAGTTTACATCTTCATTCAATGTTTTAAAATACTCGTAAAAACTATCTAATGAAGCCATGTTTTCTTGTTTAGTGTTTTTTTCCATTAATATTTTGCCATGCAGTATTGTTTTGGATCAGCGTGTTTTAACATACGTAATTTTTCAATTTTTCTCTCATTAAAATCATTATTCGCTTTGCGTAAAGTGTTTTTATATTGTTTACTAATTGACCTTAATAATTCTTTGAAATAGGGGGTTTTATATTTGTTGTAAGCTTTTCTAGTTTTGTGATATTTATCACGCATATTTTTACATGAATTGTCAAACCATGGGAAATAATTTTTTATATTAACATTTTTGTTTTGATTTTTCTGAGTTATCTCTCCAAATGACTGTTTAGAACAATTAGTAAACAGAGTGGAAATGTCAGAAACTATTTCATCTAAGTCGTTCTGTACAACTATGCTTTTTTCTAATACTTTATCAAGCATTAATTCAATTTCAGAGATTTTAGATAGGTCAAGATTTTCGGAGAATGTATGGGCATTCTTGTTATCCCATAATTTAGTTTTAAGAGTTAATGGTTCAAACATTATTTCATCAGGAATACAAAAATTGTTTTTAGGCCTGATGCTTATCACTGCTTCTAAGCCGGAATGAACATCAGAGTATAAGCTACAGAAATCATGTACTTTAAAATTTAAAACATTCTCAAAAACAAATGATGATGATATAAAATAATCAACAGTACTCGAATTCTTACATGTTAATTTTGGATTATAACAATCATCCCCAACTCTACCATTCCATATAAACATATTGTTATTTTTACATAGTTCAATCAACTGATTGCCATAATGATTTACAGTATTATCTATACATATTCTATTTACAGGTACATCAAATAGCTCAAAATTTTTCATTATTTCATTTTCTTCGCTTTCAACATATTGTAAAATAGATAAATACAGAATCCCTAAAGAAAGCCCAACACGACAAAATTGAAAATGTTGCAGGCTCGGTTTGATTGAGCCTGTTCATGGACGGTACTGGAAAGTGCAAGTTACCGTCCACGCCCCCTAGCACCGGCTTAAGCAGAATTCAACATTTAAACATGAAATAGTAAAATTTTGAATTTAGAAACATCCGCAGATGTGTTCATACGGCGGTTATCATGGAACCTTCAATGTGACACTTCCGTGCCATTCCATGAAAAGCGGCGTATGGTCCCCAAGTAATAAAAAGCGTGTGCCCTAAACGAGAAAACAATGGGCGGAACTAAATAAAATGGAATTTTGAAAGGGGATCAGAGGTTATGTAAAGCCTGCGTATCACAGATAAGACGTAAATGTTAATAAATCGTACATGTTAGAAATAAATAAGTCAACAGGCGTAAAATCTTTTAAACTACCGCATCGTGCATTATAATCACCAAACAACAAAAAATGTTTACTGATTATAAAATATCTAAAGATTTCATTTTGTATATCAAAAAAAGGTTCACTGTGAGAATATTTCGAACTAACTGGCGGTATATATACAATTCCGCATTTAAGATCTTCTACATGAGAACTACAATTTGAACCGTATATTTCATTTGAAATTGTGAAAAATTTAATCAGATTACATTCGTTATTACTCTCAACATTAACATATGGTGCTAAATGTGTTTTAATTAATAATGCCATTCCACCTGATCGATAATTTGAAAGCTTTTTTCTATTAAACATATGAACTAAAAATCCAGGAACAGTAATTACATCAGTATCATCTGTTTTAGTTTCCTGTAGACCTATAATATCATAGTTATTGATAAAAGTGAGAAATTCAGGGCATTTAAGTTTTGTGACTAATCCACAAACATTCAAAGATAACAGTTTTAAAGATTTTTGTGTATCAACACCGTTACAATTTGTGCATTCAATACTGTCCGTAATTAAGTAGCAGTTTTCCGGTTCACGCTAATCTGTGTCATGGTTGGTCTGGCAATAATCACCCGTGTTTTCACGTAAAAAAAGCGGGGTTCTTGATCCGTATTACTGTATCCAGCATTGGTATGCGGGGGCGTAGGCAGTGTGACTTTTGGATATTGCTGTAGCGTCATACTTGTTGGATTTGTTAGTAACGTATTTGTCATGTCATTGTTTAATATTGACGGTGAATGTTGCGAAACACTTGGCTCCTGTGTAAGCTGAGAGTCAGACAGCGACTCATATTCATATTCACTGTTAAAAGTATTTTGTTTTTTAAAGTTCGAGTCTTGTTCAAGTGGAGAAGTTGCCTTCTTTTTCCCTGCATACGAAGTACGAGAAGACATCTCTCTCAATGGTGTTGCAAACGCTAGCTCTTCAAATTTGTTTTTCAGCGGGATGACAAATGGTTTGTTATGGTCTGTAATGTGTGGATTTACATCGTTGCTTTTCTTTTGTGATCTGTTTTGTACTGTGTCTGTGTTAAGTGTATTTCTGAAATTTGAGTTTCTGTATGTTTTAGGCCTTGCGCCATTGTCATTCTGGTACTTTTTCGGCTCCTGTTGCATGTTATCTGTGTTATACAATGCGTCGTTGATGTAAAGTTTATCCCGAACTAGTCTAACTTTATTTTGTTTATTTTGACGAGCTTTTTTGGCAACTTCATATAGAACTTTTCGTTTACTTTCTATTTCGACAGGAAATTGTTCGGATATTCCGAATTTGGTGCCGGTTAATGTGCTTGGTGCAGCAACTCTGACAAGTTCCCTATCTTTGTAAAATGTAAACTTTACGACGATAGGCCTGGGTCGTACATTTCTTTTATTGAACCTACCCAAACGGTGGGCTCTATCTATTTGCATTTCTTTATTTATACCCATTTCATTTTTTATGAAGTTTTGGATTATCATTTCACAATTTTCACGCTCTTTCTCATTTTGGGAGTATGGAGATTCAGGGTGACCATAGAAAAGTAAATTTTCACGCATACTTCGCCATTTCACATCGACGATACTATCATCTGTGTGTTTAATTTGCATTTGTATGTTTTCTTGATTTTGTTTTAGTTTGTCTATTTCAGTTTCGAGTTGTCTCACTTTTGCGTCAGTATCCCTATTGTTCATCGTTATATCATCACACAAGTCACTGTAATGCTGTACAGTTTCATCATAATCTGTAATTTTTGTTTGTAAAAATTTCATGTTGTTTTCAATGTCATACACTTTTGTATTTGTTTTAACTATGTCTTTTTTTATATTTGTTACCTCTGATAGCAGACTTTCCATCCTCATTAGCTTTTCATTCTGAGCTGACATTGTATTTTCTACAACTTGCCAAGCTCTTGTATGATTGTCGAGCATTAGTTGAATATTATTTACTTGTTGGTGTTAACTGTTGTTGTCGTGTCTAAAATAAGTCAAAAAAAGTACTGATATACATTATATATATGCGGCCTGAATTTTCATCATATTTTCAGATATTGTTTTTTAATTACATTTTTATCATAAGCAACTTTTGAAAAATAAGAATAAAAACATTTTCGGATAATAATGGGCCTTTAATACGTTCGTGTTATTTCTTCTGACAGATTAAGCGCTATAATATCCAATCGTGTAAGAGATAACAATCCGGACATCGTAGATTTGAGCGACCCTAACCGTCCAGAGAAAATTGCAGGGATGTATTCTGAACTTTATAGCAACCAATGGACAGACGCCTACGAGGTTTTAGAGAGCACCTTTAAAAATAACGAAAATAAAATTTTTCAGTTTCTCGTAGATATTCTTAAGGTGAATATAATATAGTTTATTAGCTTTGAAATCTAATTTTAATTTTGTTTAAATTAATGTTGCATCTGTATTCTAAATAAATGGTGAAGATAATTTGTGTCAAATTAAAGAGCTGAAAGAAAAAAAAATTATTTATTGTTGTTGCCAAATAATATAAATGACTGGATCATGATGTTAGCATGATGTTAGCATGATGTCAGTGCGCATGCTTAACAGGAAGGCGAAAATACGATGGTGAACAGTCGAAAAAGTCGAAACCACGATGATGAAATGTTGAAATCAAATGGTGCATCATAATTATGTTCTCTTAGATTTATCGTCGAAAACATGCCATAATCCTTTATCATTTTTATTTACTCCAATATAGATATGTTTTGAAACATGTCAAGAAGAAGGCGAGAAAGAGCTAGAACGGTTAAGAAGTTCAGTAAAACATGTTGAACAAGAGCTGACGACGGTAAACAAAAGTTCAATATTGTTGCTATAATAATAAAATTAAACATATATCGTAATAAAAATAAATTGATTGCAAACATGTAAATTCACTGGATATATATGTGCAGTATTTACTGGCTTTTATTGTACATAACTTTTTCATGATATTAACGTATCAAGACTATAATTAGTGTAATAAAGACGTACGAATAAACAGGAAAAAAATATTGAAAGCATGTATCTAAGTTTAGATGTCAAGAAGGCTATATAAGTAAGTTTCAGACTTGTTCATTACTATGTTTGTTTTACGCACTTCAAACAAACCATTCATTTGTAAATAGATCAACAAACATTTTGGTTAATTTATGTAGCAAACCGTGGTAAAAAATAACGTAAAATATACCCCCTTAAATTAATCAATGACAAATATGCTATCAAACATTCAGTTTTTTTATGCATTTATCTATATATGAATAATTTATAAGGAGTAAACATGTGTTGTACAGAAATTTTGTCTTTGGATATTATACGGTATTTGTATCACTTTCCAATAAACAAATGCCTGTAAAATAATGTACGGATTAGAAAAGCCTAGACTTCAGACTGTACTACCTCGATTAGATAAAAAAAACAACATTAAAGTATAGAAATGCCTGAATACCATGACAAAGTCTTTGACCTATTTTGTCCAGCGTAGTAGAGATGTGTTCAATTCATGCATGGTAATACCATTAGAGGCGCTCGCTTGCGGTGCGCCTCAAAAACCGTTTTCGTGTGATTTGTTTTGTTTTATTTGCTCTAAATTCTAAACATTTTAGTTTTTATTGGAGGATCATATACATGTACATGTGCATTAGTTGTATATTATGAATTTTGTTTTTAGAAACACAAAACACTACAGAGTGACTTGATGCAGCGAATAAAAGATGAGAGAAAACTGAGTGCCACTGGTCAAGTACCAGATTATAATAAGGTTTGTTGAGATATTGTTACAAATATAAATGATGATACAACTATTTTTTATAAGTTAAAAATGTTTTATAGATTAAACATTGAAAATCAATTCAATTTAAATATACATGCATTGTATGTAAAAGATTATTAGAGTGATGAAGAGCAATCGACTCTAGTTTGATAAATAAAATACATGTACTTAAATAGCGTACATTATCACTTGATATTTATTATTGTAAGAGATACTTTACCTTTTAATGTCTTTGATTAACACACCCAATTAACCAAATAATCGATAATTTTCAACCATATACGTTTTTTTCTGCTCATCTCTCCCGTTTCTCCGAATTTTTATTTTCTTAATGCTCATTTTTTTTCACAGATATCAAAACTAAAGAAATACTTCAAATCATCTAAAGCTAATGACAAGGTGAACATGCAGCAGCCTGACATGAAGGCTTATATAAAAGAATGCCTTAGAATTTGTCGGCTAATGGTGATACAAGATCCACCGATGACTTTATTATTCAAGCCTGATGTAGCAGTGATTAATTCCTTTAGAGAATATAGAAACAAAGGCACACGAGTTGACATTGTTGTTTGGCCTGCTTTGCTCTTGAAAGAAGGTGGTCCGATGGTTTCGCAAGGGGTTGTCAAGTTTTATTAATAGAAAAGCGAAGAAAACATCAGTGAGCAAAGGGCATCATTAATGACTTTCAAAAAGGTTTTGAAAGTAAAAACAAATTGTAATTTTATTACAATACCATGTAGCTCATTTTGTTTTCTGCTGTGCTAAAACTGCTAGTGAAAATATAATATTGCTCAATACATTTTAATATAAAAAGAAATATACATGTACAGTAAAAACTCATTCACTAAACCGGACATTGTCGGTTTAATGGAGATCCGGTTTTGCGGGGTTTCCACTGTAGTTATTGTAGATTCTCTAATGATGAAAATCATTAAAAAAAATCATTGTTACTGTTTGAGATTTGTATATCATAGAACTTTTTGCAAAATATAGATTAAAAAATGTAAATAAAAACTTTACTATCACTAAATAAGTTGAATCACTACACAGTGTACTCTCTGCAGAACGGCCATGTATAGAGAAAAACCTCTCTATAGTGACAGTATCATTTCTACCCTAAGAAAGACTTTACATTAAAATGAGCCGCGTCACGAAAAAACCAACATAGTGGATTTGCGACTAGCATTGATCTAGACAAGCCTGCGCCTCCGCGCAGTCTGATCAGGATCAATGCTGTTCGCTATCAGTTTCTCTACTTGTAATAGGGTTTGTAAGCGAACAGCATGGATCCTGATCAGACTGCGCGGATGCGCAGGCTGGTCTGGATCCATGCTGGTCGCAAACGCATTACGTTGGTTTTGTCATGACGCGGCTAAAATAAACCTGTCTAGAGCAACACCCCAAACAACAACCACCTTTTTTTATCTCACGATGGGCGATTCTATACAGAGATTGTAGTAACTGTAGCTTTATTCTAACAAGCAGGACATTCTTTTAAATGGTCCAGCAATATGTAATCGTAATTTATTGTAGACTCCTATAGAAATGATAAAAAAGAAAACAAAGAAATACAGCACTTTTAAAGATAATGCAGTTATGCAAACTAATGAAATTCTAGAGGTTCTAACTGATTTCAAAATACATATTAAAATATTAACTTAAACGTGTTTTAACAATATTTCGATACATAGAGATAGACATAGTTGTTGATTATTATTTTATCAGTATATAAGAACCATAATTTAAGTTACGTCTCATTATTAAAGTGTATAAATTGCTGTATATTTGATGCAAAAATTATTGTTTGGATTTTAAAAAAGAATACTTTGGAAATGCGCTTGTATGATATAAAAATGGCAATAAATTGCCATAAAGCGAGTGACCCATGTACAAAGTCATTGCTTAACGGATAAAAACCCTAATTAAAAGAGCAAAATAATAGTTTGTTCCGGATAATTTATTCTGTTTAGGTACATTATTCGTGTGTGTTAAATAACATTCTATGGGGAATCAAGCATATAATAATGGAACCAATGTTATTTTGCTTTTGGCAAATTTTACAAAAAATATTTCACAAGATAGATTTATGCCCTTAAACATACAAGTACAAATGTATAAATGTACAAATATAAGCGTAAGTTACATTGATTTCATGGAATTATTGCTGCTTAGTGACAAAATTAAAAATAACAAATACAAAATGTAACATAAAGTCATAGCGAACTAAGTGTTTCACAAGAGTTAATGAAATTAATGCACATGAGAATAAAATTGACGTACACATTTTAAGTAAACATAAAATGAATGCGCAAAACAATTAACAAGATATACGGGGCACAAAAATTGAGCCGCATCACGACAAAACCAACATAGTGCGTTTGCGACCAGCATAGATTCAGACCAGCCTGCGCAACTACGCAGTCTGATCAGGATCCATGCTGTTCGCTATCAGTTTCTCTACTTGTTATAGGGTTGGTAAGCGAACAGCATGGATCCTGATCAGACTGCGCGGATGCGCAGGCTGGTCTGGATCCATGCTGGTCGCAAACCCACTATATTGGTTTTGTCGTGACACGGCTCAAATGATAATTGATGTAGGGGTTGAGTACTCGACTTACTATAGTGATCCCCATATCGTTGGTTACAATCATACCGGAAGTGTGATACTCATTCGACTTCCTCATTCCAAGCTGGTGCAATAATTATTGGTTAGGACATTCCTTACGAAGCGATCATCTGGTCAGACTTGCGTTGATATGTCTATGTGTCCAAAAAGAGTAAAGACACATTTCATACAGGTTAGTTTGAATGCCATATGGACTATTGTCCATCCCCTAAGAACCCCCAAAACATGTTACAATAACAAATTCATAGTCAAATAATTATAATAAAAAACATGAACGGACCAAACAACTTTAAAATTTACGTAAACAAAAGCCAACGCCGAGCGAAAAAAAGGCAAAAAATAAACGGTTTAAAAAGAAAATTAAAGATTTTGTTTTTCATTTTAAAAGCTCTGTTTAGTCACATTTCTTGTGAATCATTTCCATAAGTAAATGATATAAAAATTATTCACTCATTTGACGGTCAAGGACATTTCGGCTCAAATCAAAGGATTGGCAGACATCGCTACAACGCGCCGCACGACAACGCGCCGTTTGGCGCGCTTCGCTAGGGACAGGACAACAGTGCGAAACGTTTGGCGCGGTCCGCTTGCGACGATAACGATTAAGGTTGTGTTGTCACTATCGACAACGCAACGCGCAAAGTGTTCTCATAGAAAAAGTACTTGCTTAGGGGTGATCATGCAATGTTCGAATTACCAAGAAAGTTGTGGATTCACGCAAATAATCAACTGAGTCCCTTGATAGATTTATGGCGAATGGGGTGTTACCATATCATAGAAAATACATACATGTATCTTGTAATATAACCGTAACATTAAATTTTGTTAATCGTTAACATTCAATATCAGAATTCAGGTGTGTAGTTGGGGAGTTCCCTGGTCGACGTAAAGTGAATGGGTGATACCATTTGGTAGAATTCATCTATCTTGTCAATTGTCTGTAACTTTTATTTAGTAAAAAAACTTTAGATACAATTCACTAAGAATTTACTAAAAATAAAACTATTTTGCGTGACTAACGCAGTAAATGTTCGGTTTTGCATATTTTGACATTTAATTTACGGGGATTGAACGTGTTGTTTGCAGTATGTTATTTACTTTTTTTGGTTCACTTGAAAATGTTTTACCTTTAATCTACATTGCATTTATAAAAAAAAATATGAAAATTAGCACGAGTCTTGAGATTTGCTTTAACATACCCTTTCCGCCTAATTTCCACCAAAAGAAATATTTTCAAATTATAGTGAAACTAAATTAAATAGAATTGTCTCAAACCCAGGGCTGGGAATCAAAACTGCGTCGTATCCTACAAAATGTAAACAAACGCCGCCATCTTGGAACGAAAAACGTATGTTTTTGATTATAACTATTTTTGTTGGAAATGACTGAAAACCAGATATATGTATTAACACGCTACACTATTTTCCGCTTCGTTCGGTATATGTTGCTTGCACAACTATTTTGTAAAACAAAAGTTATAGCGAACTTGCAACTCGAAGCGGAGCAGAATTTTTGTGAAAATGTGTGGATACGACGCAGTTCATATTGCTTTATCCATCGTTTTTTCCTTCAAATAAATTATATACTCATTTCAGAGTTTACCATTAACTTCGAAATATAATTTTGCATCATTTACTAAAATTTCATTAGAAAGAGATGTTTATTTTCTAAGAAAATAATGATTTTTACGAAATGATACGACGCAGTTGAAAATAAAATATGATACGACGCAGTTGTATTTTTTGGCAGTCTTTTCAACAGGGATAATTTTGGCAATATATGTCTATTTTATGGAATAATCACTTGCGCTAGATAAAAAACCCAGATTTTTTGCGGTGTATATAGCGATGTTCTGTTGCTTTTGATTATTTAGAATACATTGTGTCGTGCCCAATATAACATTTAATTTGAAAGTTTACATTCCGGAAGCTACTTCACAGTTAAACATGAACATGTTACTTAATTTATTATAATTTTTTGAAATAATTTCTTATATTTTCCTGTATGTTCAATATTATCATTTTTTTGGCATATAAATATATATAGAAGTCTATGAGCCTGAATTTATTTTGGCTAGCTAAGCTCTAAGTAAACTGTGGTTCTGCATGTTCTGGGTAATGACTGGGTTTTTTTTAGGTTTGTCTCTACACATTAGTTTTACTGGGGGGCGAAGACCTCAGATGCGCCTTTGTGCATTATTTCAGGCAAAATGTTGCACCTGCAGAGAACCATCGACATTTTGAAACTACATGTAGCTTGATAGGTTTCCACACGAAAGAATCAAAAGTCCCTGGTGGTTTTCGAATTCATAGCAGTTCAGTTCAAGTGATTTGAATCAGTAAACATAAACAGCTCGGCTTCGGTCGAACACCTGTCTGATTTTTTTCAACAATTTGTTTACGTCAGCTGTACAAATAAGCAGTTTTAGTTGTTTTTATTAATTTCTGGCGTGAGGTTTTAAGATTATAAATATTTAAATTAATTATAAAGACAATAAAATTTAACTTTCTTATTGAAATGAAATATTTCCTTTATCTCTAAGATTATTTTTACTTTGATATTTCGGTGCGAATAGCAGAGAAATTTTCAATGTAAACAGGGGGTAACCCGCTTTGAAGTCATTTTCTGAAAAATTTTGTTTAATTTTTCAGGCAATTCATTTTCAAATAAAAATCACACTTTAGTTTGAAGGTATGTTTAGTGAAAACTTCTTCAATACTATTGAAACATCCTGTCGTGCATACATCTGTATCAAATTTATCGGTGCAAAGCGTAAAATACCTTTGCAAAACGGACATCTTCTTTACAAAATAATTTGTAGTTTTATCATTTGTAAATCGATTTTGAAAATTTAAGTTTTTTAGTGGAGAAGAATGATACTTTAGTGCAAAAATAGAAAATACATTCCGTAGACCTGATCTTATCGGCGATAAAGAAATGCAATACGACAAAATCGGCGCGCTGAACATAAAATGACTGAACGGAACGCATACCCTATATATCGTAGCTTAACCATTTATAATATAATTTAAAAAATTTAATGTTCAGTTTCAAATAATAAAGCTCATCTGTTCCCACAGATTATTAACAAAATGAATACAATAAAATCGGCAAGTAAAAGACGTAACGGAATTGCCGGAAATTGTTGCTAATTATAAGTAACAAAGGTAGGCATGCATAATTCTCTTCAGATAGCAAGAGACCTTTACAAAATTTGTAATTCTTTAAAAAAAACAACAAAAAAACAAAAAAAAAACAAAGGTCATTCCTGATTGGAGAGGTCAAGGAGAGGTGACTCTGGAATATTGATTTTTGTATCAAAATTCTGTAAATGAAAAAAGTAACCACCCCAATTTCGAACTCACGGGAACAAGTTTATAAGCATGCTTAGGCAACTCTAGAACACGTTGTCATATGGGTGTGCGATCACGTGTTTCAATGTATATTGCATTTGATACAGCTTTCCGGAATTTGTAGATGCTTATGACAGGAACTAAAAATGCGACCGAAATATGAAGCCTTAATCGAATTTTTATTACATTTTCCATTTTAGTGGAACAAACCTCTGCTTTTGACTTAAGTTGTAAACAAGAAATATTGCTGGACGTTATTAGCATACCTAGCACATAATTTAATAGCTGAACCAATATGCAGCCTGCAATGAAAATACAACTGCGTCGTATCATATTTTATTTTCAACTGCGTCGTATCATTTAGAAAAAAACATTATTTTCTTGGAAAATAAACATCTCTTTTTAATGAAATTTAAGTAAATGATGCAAACTCATATTTTGAAGTTTATGGTGAACTCTGAAACGAGTATACAATTGATTTGAAGGAAAAAACGATGGATAAAGCAATATGAACTGCGTCGTATCCACACATTTTCACAAAAATTCTGCTCCGCTTCGAGTTGCAAGTTCGCTATAACTTTTGTTTTACAAAATAGTTGTGCAAGCAACATATACCGAACGAAGCGGAAAATAGTGTAGCGTGTTAATACATATATCTGGTTTTCAGTCATTTCCAACAAAAATAGTTATAATCAAAAACATACGTTTTTCGTTCCAAGATGGCGGCGTTTGTTTACATTTTGAAGGATACGACGCAGTTTTGATTCCCAGCCCTGAAACCATCATTTATCATTAACAGAAAGTAATGATATAAGCATACTTATTGTCAATATAATAACTGCAAATTCTATTTAACGGAACAGTATGGATTTTTATTGCCTGTCAACAGTCTTATTTTTTTCCCTTTTACTACTCTTTTGTGTGAAGTCCTTTATCATAACCCCTCAAGAATGTCAGACATTGTAAAACACTTTACACATGTATAGTAAGTATTAAGGTGTGAAAATTCAAATGAAAAAACTCAATTTCAAGCTTACTAATGTGATACATGTAATGTACGTATATAGGAACTTGCAAAATAGTTATAAATCAGAGCGGGCGCTGTGGTGTAGTGGTAACACTGCCCGATAACAAGTATTGGGGTTGCGAGTTCTTTCTCTACCTACTCCACTAAAAATACTAAATACTTAAACGTTAAAATTAATTAATAAAAACTATACTCAGACATTGACCGGACACACATGGCACTGACGCACTGGACACAACTAAACAATGACATGGCCACACATGGCACTGAAGCACAGGACACTACTCACACACATGACACTGACCTGAAACAAAGGACACTTCTCATACAGCACACTACGCAATCACAGGGACTCACTCACATGCAAGACACTAAGGACACACAGGGCAGATTCACTCACTGACACAAAGGACAATACTCATTTTCTGACACTCATGACACTACTCATATACTGACACACAGGGCACTACTCACACATAGGGCACTTCTCACACACAGCTAGGGCACTACTCACACACAGGGCACTTCTCACACACAGGGCACTACTCACCCACTAAAACACAGAGGACACTACTCACATACTGACGCATAGGGGACTACTCACTCACTGACACACAAGAAACTACACACACGCACGACACTACGGACACACTGGGATCTACTCGTTCACTGACACACAGGACACCACGCACGACACTATACTGACACACAGTACACTAGCTAGCTACTCACACGCACGACACTCCAGACTACTCACTCACTAACACCACGGATTTACACACAGGAGACTGCTAACAGAATGACATCCATGAAACTACATGTATACTGGTGAGATTTTGTAAGATATCTGTATATTGAGTCCGTCTTCATACGCATTGCATGCTTTGGGCCCAGCAGAACCCACGTCGATGAAGACTGCATAGAAATCCAATACAAAAATGGGTGTTATAGAGAGTCAGGAGCGTAGAATCACATCTCGAGTTGCTAAAAAATGGTTTAAATTTTATATAACTGTTTGAAAACTAGCTATTGACCTAATTTTGTGTTATAAATGCTTCACATCTTTTGCAGCGGAAATTCACATGTACTTTTAACCGATGCTCTTTTTTTTACACATATGGATACCCCCGTGTAGCAGAGGTCCAAGAACAGATACTGCCACCTGTGGGTCTATTCATGTACGAAAAAATTATACATTTTTAAAAGTTTCGTGAAAATTAACATAAATCGGGAGACCTGCTGCTTTAATGAGCAAACCTACATTTGTATAGATCCTCTGTACAGTGTGGTACAAAAAATTGCATAAAAGATAGCGTTTGATTAATATAATTCTACATTTTGCATATATCTATGTTTATTTACCCGAACAACACGATTCGACAGAAAAATGCGACTGAAGGGGGTTTGACTTTCCAAACCGGCTTAGCCTGTAAGGGGAGAACACTGCGTGGTCAACTTTGATTAGTAATTTCCCTTTGATTGTTGTCCGCCATGACCTAGATAGTGATAAATATTTTAAATATCACAATATATTATGTAAGTTCTTTACTTATTTCTTCAGTTCATGTAATGCTTTATTAGTAAAAATAAGCCGCAACAAAAAGTTAAAAGAATAAAATAATTTTTCCCATTCGTATGTATCAGTTCGCTAAAAATACAGTAAAAATAAAGTTAAACTACTGGCAGGTGCATGAACAGATGAAGTCGACTGAGTACTGTACTCAGCCCTTGCTTAAACAAAACTGGTACACGTATTCGCGTATGAGTGTCTCGCTGCCACCAAAGTCGAGGTCACACATAGAGGTAAAATTTAAGACAAAAATATTAATAGAGAATGTATCACAGGAACCTGAAATTCTATTAATATTAATGATAAAATCCAAAATATAACCCCTACTCAGGGTCTTTCAAATAGAATGGTCTGGAGACGGACCGATTTCACAAAAAAAGCTGTCTCGGTTGAGTCACGTGATTGGGTTATCTACCGACTGTGATCTGGCATAGCACATCACCATTCAAAAAATCAAATTATAATGTAATGTTTTGTTATATCAATCAAAAACTTACTAAAACTAACTCCGACTACATTATATTATCAGTTTTTGCTTTTAAAGTAACAATTTTATAGATTTGCAATGAAATTAGGAATTTTCGTTCCCGGTGTCAAAGTAAAAATCTACTGTTCATATTTGAAAATAAGTCTGAGTTTCATCAGCTTCATCAAAATTTATGCATTGTTCAATGACAAAATAGGAATTGATTTTACAGAGAAAAGGTGTTTTTAAATCGTATCATGTAAAAATATTATGACATTTCACCATGTTATTTGCAAATATTTGATGTTGAATTTGGTGCTTATTGTGAAGTTGCAGTACATGAAAATCGGGCACATGACAAATCAGCACATAAATAAAACATTCTAGTGTTCCTTGGTATACATCTTTTCTACGTGTCATACCTCCTTTCCTTATTACAATGATTTTTTACTGCATTGTTATCCATCGCTGGTTTGTTTTTAGCAGAGAATGACCTGTGTATGTTCAAAGAGGGTACCGTTTGAGAATATTTCGCAAAGAGGGTACCGATATGGATATGCACCGTGATATTGTCTGATTTACCTAGACAGAATGCGGGAATAAGCAATGCAAAACACGTGACCCGAAAATGTGTACCGCTAACTCTTCCAAATATGGTTATACACATTTAGGCTATCGTGTGACGTCATGCAGTGTGTTGGGCGGAAAAAAATGGGCAGAGCACTAAGCCGGTTAGAGTGCATATTGGATGTTCTTCGTAAATAAGAAAGCTACAGTCGCTTCGCAAGCTCCGCTCCTTTTAAGCTTTCTTATTTACGAAGAACACCCAATATGCACTCTAACCTATACATAGCCAATATTACTGGGAGCATGTCAATATAAACACTCGGTAGGTGGCGTTGACAATAATATCGCAAGATTTGTAAATATACCGGTACCATGGAGTCAACGGTATCATGGGGTTCGAGTATACTAAACCAAAATTTAATAAAATCAAATAATTAAGGTGATTCCGCTTTGTCAGCCATGTTTGTTTTCACAAAGTATGTCCAAAGTGAAAGTAGGCCAAAATTCATATAACAACAAAGCTCACATTGCTGCAAAAATTGGTTTTTGTAGGCACTAAAACAGACATTAAAAAGGATTTTGCCATTCATGAATAGTGCATTTATAAACTTTGCTACAGAATGTTTTTGGTCTTCAGAAATTTAGCCCATTCAAGGTTAATATTCTTATTAATATCATTTTTAGCTCAACTATTCGATAAGAATAAGTAGAGCTCTTGTAGTCACCCGAGCGTCTGTGTCCGCATCGGCGTCCGCGTAACCACTTATATTAACGTTTTTGTAATAGTTCAAATATTTTCAAAGTCCATTGACATATGGCTTTGAAATTTTGCACACTTGTTCACCATCATGACCCCAACCTGTAGACTCGAGGAGGTAACTCTATCAAGCATTTTGACAAAATTATGCCCCTTTTTAGCTCGACTATTCGATAAGAAAAAGTAGAGCTACTGTAGTCACCCGAGTGTCTGCGTCGGCGTAACCACTTATGTTAAAGTTTTTGTAATAGTTCAAATATTTTCAAAGTCCATTGACGTATAGCTTTGAAACTTTGCACACTTATTCACCATCATGACCCCAACCTGTAGACAGGAGGAGGTAACTCTATAAAGCATTTTGACCGAATTATGCCCCTTTTTCAATTTAGAATTTACGTTAAAGTTTTTGTAATACCTCAAATATTTTCAAAGTCCATTGACATATGGCTTTGAAACTTTGCATACTTGTTCACCATCATGACCCCACAATGTAGACAGGAGGAGGTAACTCTATCATGCATTTTGATAGAATTATGCCCCTTTTTCGACTTAGAATATACGTTAAAGTTTTTGTAATACCTCAAATATTTTCAAAGGCCATTGACATATGGCTTTGAAACTTTGCACACTTGTTCACCATCATGACCCCAACCTGTAGACAGGAGGAGGTAACTCTATCAAGCATTTTGACAGAATTATGCCCCTTTTTCGACTTAGAATATACGTTAAAGTTTTTGTAATACCTCAAATATTTTCAAAGTCCATTGATATATGGCTTTGAAACTTTGCACACTTGTTGACCATCATCACCCCAACCTGTAAACAGGAGGAGGAAACTGTATCAAGCATTTTATTTTACTATCAAGCACTAAGAATAGTCGAGCTTTGCTGTCCTACCGACAGCTCTTGTTCGACTTAGAATTTACGTTAAAGTTTTTCTAATACCTCAAATATTTTCAAAGTCCATTGACATATGGTTTTGGAACTTTGCACACTTGTTCACCATCATGACCCCAACCTGTAGACAGGAGGAGGTAACTCTATCAAGCATTTTGACAGAATTATGCCCCTTTTTCGACTTAGAATTTACGTTAAAGTTTTTGTTATAGTTCAAATATTTTCAAAGTCCATTGACATATGGCTTGAAACTTTGCACACTTATTCACCATCATGACCCCAACCTGTAGACAGGAGGAGGTAACTGTATCAAGCATTTTTTGTTACTATCAAGCACTAAGAATAGTCGAGCGTTGCTGTCCTACTGACAGCTCTTGTTATTTTTGTTTATAATTGTCCTTGAAATATAAACCTGGAAGTGAACTTTCAAATGGTTCATCATTCTACAATAAGAGCTTTGTTGTTATATGAATTTTGGCCTACTTTCACTATGTACAGACTTAAGTGAAAACAAACATGGCTGACAAATCGAAAGGATAAGGTCAGTTCAATCTTTTGAGAGGTCATGTATTTTTGTTTATAATTGTCCTTGAAATATAAACCTGGAAGTGAACTTTCAAATGGTTCATCATTCTACAATAAGAGCTTTGTTGTTATATGAATTTTGGCCTACTTTCACTATGTACAGACTTAAGTGAAAACAAACATGGCTGACAAATCGAAAGGATAAGGTCAGTTCAATCTTTTGAGAGGTCATGTCTGAGGTTGTCTATCTACATGTAAGTATGAAGATATTCCATTGTTGATTACAGCCGATTGTTGCAATAATCAGTGAACTTTCAATAGTTTGACCTTCAGGGTGAAGGTCATACATGAGTCAAGGTTGGTTTGAGTTAGATTATACATGTACATGAAGATCTGGACCTATAAAAGATGTTGTGCCTAATATGAAGTTAAATTTAATCCATTAATCAGTGGCGTAGCTACTATTAGGCCATGTAGGCCTGGGCCTACTAGTTGGTCAATAAATTGACATTTTCAAAAGTCCAAAAAGTACAATAAAGACAGACGGGGTTGGGATGGTAGTGGGTTCAAACCGTATTGTCAAATCAAGTGTGTTTTAAGCTTGATTTACCGTCTAGATTAGATTGTTTTTTTGATGATTTTCCTTGGAAATTCATTGGAACCAAATTTTGCTCTTTTTAAACTAAACTTGTTTTTTGCTTCTGGGGGCTAAGCCACCAGACCCCATTCTATGGGCCTACAATATGAATAAATCTGGCTACACCCCTGTTAATAATGACTTAACAAAGTTATAGTATGTTACAGGAAACATTATTATTAATTTGACCTTAAAGATACATTTAATAAATTTCATAAAAACAGAAATAACGACATTTCATTAATAAATTAGGTTTTATATCGACTCAAGATCTTATTTTAGTGTCCAGACAACCAAAAGGAGTTTTATAAGCATAAAAAAGGACAACCTCATTGTGGCGAATTTTGAAGTACAATTTCTGTTTGCATGATAAACTCCGCCTTCAGATTATCCGTACATCAATCAACAAACATGACTATAAGTAGCAGTACTATTTTAATGGTATATTTCCACATTGTAACGGATGTTTTTATACAAATTTAATCTTTTTATGAGATGACTACTTTTACTGAACCTCAGGCCTAGTGCACTGTGAAGTTAAACAGTTAAAATGTGTTAGCACAAGAAAATCTCATATTTGTTGTGTTCCGAATAGCAGCTATAACACTGTGACGTAGCGCATACACAAGCTGCTTATAATCTTCATTTGCATGTTAAAATTTGTATACGAACTTTAGTGTTACCAAGGGGTTTTTCGTTTAAAATCCTTATTTATGAACAATTTTTCATGAGATTTACAACAAGACTGTTAAAAGGTTAATGAATCTGTAGAATGCTTGGTTTTTAGGCCAAAATCAAAAATATTTGTACATATTTATTTAATGTAGCTTTAATTGTAACTTAATTTATACTTTTAAAGCAAAATAGCTTCCTCACAGAATGCAAATAATGCAACATTCTGTACCAAATCCAGAGATTAAGAAAGAGAACAAATGGCTGTATTATACATGTTATATTTGACTTAATTCAAATATGTGCTGTGTTTATTATTATTTTTCTTTTTGTAGATATTGTGAAAAGTGATGCAGATGCAGTCAAGTTTTGATACAGTTTTGTATTTGTGTAGCTGATGATAAATGCTGTATTCAGATGGAACGGAAATACTGTGGATTCAAAACTAGTAAGCATGCAAGATATTGTAAAGAAAAAAAACTAATTATCAAGTTACATATTATTTGATTAGTTACAGCACCAATCTTACAGTGAGGAAAGTTGACTGCATTATTAATGTGAAATGATTAAATGCTAACAAGTTGATAAAAAGTTCATTTATACGGTAAATTTGATAACAGTGAGCAGAAAAAATGAATAATAAAAAGCAAGGCAAGAGAAAACAAAAGAAGTCATTTAAATGCAAGTTGTGTGATCGTACTTTCATCAGAATATATAATTTGAATGAACACATGAAAATACATACTGGAGAAAAACCATTGAAATGTAAATTGTGTGATTGTCTGTTCAGACAAATGAGTAATTTGAAGGAACACATGAATACACATAGTGGGGACAAACCCTTTAAATGTCAGCAGTGTGAAAATGCATTTAGAAGAAAAAGTGAGTTAACGAGGCATATGAAAAAACATACAGGTGAAAAACCATTTGCATGTGAGCTTTGTGATAGTGCATTTATCTATAAATGTCATCTGAAGTACCATATGAGAATTCATACTGGAGAAAAACCATTTTTGTGTCAGCTGTGTGACAAAAAATTTGATAGAAATAGTCAGTTAAAGTTACATATTCAGAAACATGATGAACAAAAGCTTCAAATAATGCAACCTATGGTAAAACAGACTGAAAAACCATATGTATGCGAATTCTGTGAAGAAGCATTTAGCAATAGAGATAATTTAGAGCAACATTTGAGAACACATACCGGAGAAAGACCTTTCAAATGTAAAGAATGTGAAGGTACATTCAGACACTTAAGTATTTTAAAGGAACATATGAGAGAACATACTGGAGAAAAAACATTTTCATGCAATGTTTGTGATAAAATATTCAGCCGAATGGATAGACTTAAGATTCACTCACTTGTACATAAGGAAGAAAAACCATTTAAGTGTACTGTGTGTAATAGATCATTCAACAGAAAGGAAAGTTTAAAGAGACACGTTAGACAACATACAGAAGGAAAAAAACCATTTACATGCGACAAGTGCGATAAAACATTCAGTCGAATGTTTACACTCAAGAGTCATTCATCAATACATACTGGAGAAAAACCATTTGCATGCCAGCTTTGTGATAAAGCCTTTGTCCAGAAAAGTTATCTATTGCAACATATGAAAGAACATACTGAAGAAAATCCCTTTAAATGTAAAAAATGTGAGGGTGCATTCAGCCAAATGAGTGCTCTAAAAGGACACATGAAAATACATGTGAGAGAAAAACCATTGAAAAAACAAGAAGTAGAAAAGCTGTTTCAATGTAACGAATGTGATGGTGCATTCAACAAAATGAGAGCTCTGTATGAACACATAATGAAAGTACATAATGGAGGAAAATTTTTAACACACAATGAAAGTGATAAAATGTCCAGCGAAAACAGTAATCTAAATAGCCATTTGGAAAAACAAAATGTAGAAAAAACATTTAAATGTAAAGACTGTGATGGCACTTTCAGTCAGGTGAGTTTTCTAAATGAACACATGAAGATACATAATGGAGAAAAACCATTAACATGCAATTTGTGTGACAAAACTTTCAGCCAAATAAGTACTCTTGAGGCACATGTAAAAGAACATAATGGAGAAAAACCCTTCAAATGTAACATGTGTGAAGGAACATTCAGTAGAAAAAGTCTTTTAAAGAGACACAAGAGAGTCCATGATGGAGAAAAAAAAACACGAGATAAAAAAAAATCACGAGATAAAGTAGTAGTAGTAGATTCACTAGCATGTGAGTTCTGTGGTCTTGTCTTAAGCCAAGGAAGACTAAAGCAACATATGAGAATACATATTGGAGAAAGACCATATAAATGTAATGACTGTGAAGGCACGTTTATTGGAATTAGTAGACTAAAGGCACATATGAGAGAACATACTGGAGAGGGACCTTCTAAATCTTTTGACTCTGATGGCACCTTTATCGGAATTGATAAACTGAAGGATCACACTGAACATACTGGAAAGAGACCTTATAAAATTAATGACTCTGATGGCACCTTTATTGGAATTGATAAACTAAAGGAACACACTGAACATACTGGAAAGGGACCTTATAAAATTAATGACTTTGATAGCATGTTAAGTGGAATTGATAAACAAAAGAAACACACCGGAGAAGGACCTTCTAAATCTAATGACTCTGTTGGCACCTTCAGTAGAATTGGTAAACTAAAGGATCACACTGAATATACTGGAGAGGGACCTTATAAACTTAATGACTCTGATGGCACCTTTAGCGGAATCGATAAACTAAAGGAACACACTGAACATACTGGAAAGAGACCTTATAAAATTAATGACTCTGATGGCACCTTTAGCGGAATTGATAAACTAAAGGAACACACTGAACATACTGGAAAGAGACCTTATAAACTTCATGATTCTGATAGCACCTTTAGCGGAATTGATAAACTTAAGGAACACACTGAACATACTGGAAAGAGACCTTATAAAATTAATGACTCTGATGGCACATTAAGCGGAATTGATAAACTTAAGGAACACACTGGAGAAGGACCTTCTAAATCTAATGACTGTGATATCGGAATGAGTAATCAAAAGGAGCATATGAGTGGACGTAATGGCGAAAAGTTGTTTAAATCTAATAATTCGGAGGGCACATTCAATCAAATGAGCCTTCTAAATGAACACATGAAAATGCATAATGGTGAAAAACCATCAACATGCAATGTGTGTAAAAATACAGTTGGCAAAATGAGTAGTTTAAAGGAACTTATTAGTGTACATACTAAAGAAAACAATTCAAAAGCAAGTTATGTGATAGTACATTTTGCAAAATGAGTTATCTGAAGAACCATCCATGAATACAATATACATGTAACTGCCATTGTAAACACAATATTGATATTATTGATTAGTTAAATATGTGATGTTAACTCAGAAATTCAATAAAATTATTCAGAGTACATTCATATGCACATGACAGTCTGAAATGACACATGTGAATATATAAAGGAGATAAACCATTATCAAACTGGCACATTCTTGCACATGAAAGTCTTAAGGATTACATTATTCATGAAAGAGACTCATCTGAAGTGACACATGAGTATAAACTGGAGATAATTCATTATCAACTTAGTATTTTCATGTGCATGACACAAAGAAGATAAACAATTTAAATGTGCATGTATATGTGATGTACACTTGTAATTCCTGTATACTTTAATAAGATTCCTGTATACTTTAATAAGACATTATACATTGTATATTATAATTAAGATTCTTTGTTTTAAAAATACTGACCCAGTTTATTTTTGTAATTTGTGACCAGCAGAGTATTATATATTGTATGCCTGTTTTGGCCAATAGGAGAACATTGTGAGCAGTAAAATAATGGAAATATTTTGTTCGATTGTCAATTTATGTATGAAAAATATTACTGAAATGAAAAAAAATGTTTACATGTGTATCAAAAAGGAGATAATGATAAAAAATTTAATGAACATTTTCATATGGGGTTTGAGTTATGGTCCAGTTTTACTTACAAAAAGCTTTTGTGAAGGCAGTATGTCCGTCATAGATTGTTATTCAAATGTATTTCGATAACATCAGGATCAGGTTGTTCAAAACATTAGTTAGTGTTAACCAGTGGTTAAATTCATTATCAGCTGCAGCCAATTGTATAAACGATGGTTAAAATATACCGCGGTAATTTAATTACCGTGGTATATATCGTGGTTAGGTTACCACACGGTTTTTCGAATTGTATAAACAAATTAACCACGCAGTTACCTAACCACGCAAAACCGAAAGTTTAACCGTGGTAATATTACCTATGATGCACCGCGACGTGACGTAATTTTCCCGAACAAATGTCAGACGGTAATATTTACAAACAAAATGGCGTCCACCACAAAAATAAATAGAGCAAGAATGTTCAATCTCCGTGAAACGGATGTGATAACAGAATTTATGAAAATCAATTTACATACGTTGAAAGCCAGCCATGCACAGGGAGGGCCTGGGGCTTCCCAAAAGGTGTCTAAGGTCTGGGATAGGCTTACGGAAGAGGTTAATGCTTGCGGGAACGGCCCCCGAACGAGCAAACAAGTTAAAGAAAAGTGGAGGAATATGGTTTGTTTTCAAGTTTTCCGTGTATCACATATAAGCAACCGGTTGTGATGTATTTTTTAATCAATTTGTTTTAAAATATTCAAAGGTTTTAAAAGCTATCTTGTTGATTTATTTGTCTAAATCATTCAATATGGTGACAATGACATGAATGATATGTAGAGATCTACCTATTTATATTATAGATTTTAGGTAATAGATATACAAACAATATGTATTTCACGTCACATATGAAAAATATGTTTTGTTCACAATCAGGTTAAGAACGCTAAGACACAGACGCTTGGGGGTCAGATCCTGCCCCCCCCCCCCACGTGATACGCCCCTGTTAACACTCTACCAAAACTATTTTAATATTTAAACACGAATTGTACATCTGTTACAACGATAAAAATGGTTTTCAAACAATTTTAACGTATATGAAAAAAATACCGTATACCATCAAGTCTCAATAAAGTACTTTATTACAATTCGTGTTTAAACATTAAAATAGTTTTGGTAGAGTGTTAACAGGGGCGTATCACGTTGGGGGGGGGGGGGGCAGGATCTGACCCCCAAGCGTCTGTGCGCTAAGAGTGAAGTTTCTGCAGAGAAGTGCAGTATGAGGAAAACGGGAGGTGGACCGGCAAGACCTGAGATGTCGCAGCAATCTCAGTCTGTGGCAAGCCTGTTCCAGACCTCAGCATCATTCCATGGTGTATGTTCTGATGCCGACACCGTCATCACAAACAAAGGTAAATATCTAATCGAATATGTGTAAAATAATTATAAAAAAACTTTTAGTATATTACAGTAAATATCAAAAAGTACATACCTGAATTACTTCATCAATCCTGACTGACATGTTTTGACAATAAGTACGTACACTGTCAGGTCTAATTTATTTACAGTAAATCTACTGACTATTCGTTACATGTTGTATTTCCAATTTCATTCTCCTGACCTAAAGGTCTATAAATTATATTAAAACACTCCAAAGTAAGTCATATGCATATATAGCGTTTCCATCTTATGAAATGTGTGTTATTGTTTTTTTCAGACTTTAATGATTCAACTTATGACATTGTTGATGACAATCTTCTAAGCAGTGGCCTTCTAAGCTTGTGCCCGCTTGAGACGTTAACACAAGGTGTCTGGATCTTCTGATTTCCTTTACATAATTTAATAAGCTCCGAAATAAATTTCACTATCCATTTCCTAAATTATGCACTTATTATCCTCAATAACGTTCATTTTATTCAAGTCACTAAATTTATGATAAATAAATAATTAATATTACATTCCAATATGTTAACACATGCATACAGTACTGGTTTAAAATTTTACCGGTTTACACACTATTCACAGAATAGAACACTTTATCTTAGTGGGCGGTTTTTACAAATGTGTAATACAGTAAAGTAATTAATTTATTTCATTTTCAACATTTTTGAACTTGTATATGCTATAAGAATTAAATAAACAAATAGTTTTTACAGATATTATTCAATTATTAAACACAGTAAACGTGTGCACCAACCATTTAAACGATTTAACACATTCCTGCCTTACCTAACTCTATTCACAAATAAACTCACCCGTTGACCTGTTTCGGTGAGCTATGGAAGGCTACATCCGTCTTTAAAGGAAGAACTAGCCCCAACTACGACAATTTCCAATATTACTGTAAACAGATACGATTTATTTTTCTTGTAAAATTCTGTAATATTGGTACTTTTGTAGGAAGGTGTATCATACATTTTATTAGATATGACATTTAAGTTGTGAATAGTCTTCTTAGTCTTCTTAATCCATATAAATCAATTTTCATGACCCATACTCAGATATTATATTTTTCATAAAAATATTCAATATTCAAAAATGTTTCTTTTTGCATGACTTTTACAAATGAAATATTGCAGATGTTCAAGATAACATGAACATGCCATCCATGTCGGTGACAGCAGACGAAACTTTCACACAGCAAAGAGCAAGTTATCCAGAGGAGTCTGCAACAAATGCTCCAAGCCAAACTGCTTCATGTGATTATTTTTTAATTTTGTTTTCCTTATAAATCTTTATTATCACATCTACCAAATTCAATAAAGCTTAGATGTACAGTATATCATATACAATTACATCTATCTGCTACCATACTAAAGCTTGTGGATCTTAGTTTGATTTTATAAATTTTGAGATTCATGGAAGGTCGGTTGTAATACTCAAGTAGTCGCCCGTGCGTGAAATAATGCATGAAGGAACATTTGTCGTCTTCCTTCACCAGTAAAGCTGGAACGTCATAACTTTTGTCCTAATTTTCAGTTTTGTGTGATTTTATTACGGGTTAACCGTTAAAAAAGGAAGAAAAAATCCCAATCTAGTCAGTTAATCAAATTTATCTCTCCTACATTCAAAGTGGGATATATATGGCGATATTTCACAATAATTTTATTAATCTAATAAAGTGTAAAATTTATTTGCAGTTACGTCGGATGAAAAGAGGCAGCATAAAAACAAAACTCACCAGAAAAGGTTAAAACATATTTTTAATATATTTAAAATTCATTTCACAAAATTTAAAAAATACGTCCGTCACACCCAGCTCCGGTTCTCATCATCTGTAAGCCTGGAAGAAATATGTTTTTGATCTTTTTTAAGAACTTTTTAAACTAGAGAGATCAAAATTTAATGATAGATAATCTGTCAAATCGTTATATGGCTTTGTGATAGGATATGATAGATGTAACATAATAGAATGAATAAAATAAGATATCGAACGTGCAGACTTAGTCGCAAAAGAACAAAACTTAAGTATAGGTTAGTGTTTAATAATATGTATTAACAAAAATAATTGGTCAAGCCTGCCGCAGGCAGGCGACCAATTATTTTTGTTAATGCATATTTTTAAACATTAACCTATTTAATGATCAACATTTTTTTTTCAACCAAAAAAAAGGCATTTCATTAAATCACCGATAGCTCCGCCCTTTCGCTCTACAAGATGTCTACACCTTGTTAAGTTTCTAACATATCACATTTAGATAAGCTAAATGAATGGCCCTATTAACAAATAATCAGGCATATTTTTTACTGAAATGTCACAGAATTTATACTTTAATCTACAGTTAGACTATCATGCTGAAAAAAAAACAGCGAGGAAAATGATGCAATTAGGTAAAATCAATGGAGTTAACGAAATGTGTACATCCTTTATAAATAAATGGAAAATGTGAAAAAGTGCATTAGATTAATAATTTATACAAATTCATTATTAGCTTTAAGTTATTCACTAACATTTAAAATCCCAATTGATTTGCTCATTTGAAAAACAGCTTTTTTGTGTGCCAATCTAGGTTTACAGGTGGAGGCTGTTCATTTACCATGAGTTTTCCAGTCAAAAAATGTATTTATAATCATTGTATTCTTAATATCAAGGATTGTTAATGCAGTTCATTCCTATCAATTGAAAGAAAATTATGTTTTGGTTACTTTTTCTAGAAAAAAAGAAGTTTAAAACAGTCAGCAATTTATAACAGGCACTTTTCATAGAGTTAAAAGGATATAAAAAAAACATTTGTCTCTGCATGCCCCACATGTATTATCTATGTAATATATTAATTGATTGTATCCTCACATTTAGAAACACCTGACCTCGCCCAATTGTTTTTTACGTTGGCATTGTTTGCTAACCCAGATATTTTACAATTCAGAGTGCAAATCACACCTCTAACTCCTCCCTAATATAATGCATTATTGAAAATTGTTAGACTCAGGTTAGACGGCAGATTAAGTAAATTTGATTTAGTTAGTACACATAAACCAAAGTTAGACTTAGCAGAAATTTGAAAAATACTACAATGTGATTGGACAAAAAATAATGCTGATCATTTATATAAATATGTTATGTACGCCAAAATTTCTGTTATATATTACAGAACACTGAAGGATCTACAGATGACATTTTATGAGAGGCAGATCCAGCTCTCCGAGACACAAATGAAATGTTACAATAAATTTGCACAGCTGGCTGATGTTTTGATAGAGAAATATAAAATTGATTAATATAAACGAAACTATTTAAATATATGCTTTGGTGCTTTGTTCTGAGGACAGAACTTGTTAAAATTTTGATGTTTTAAATGAAATATTGTATTTGGAGTATAAAATTTGTTAAACTTGAAATTCGAAAAATAGATTGTATTTGCCTAAAAACATGTTCTTATATACTAACTATATTTTATCCTAGAAATATGTCTGAACAATGTGCTGCCTCACTCCTTTGCCATCCATAGTCCCCTGAAATATCTCTGTTGGAGGTTGGTCCTGGTCAGAGTCACTGCCCTCTTGAGGCTCACCCCACTGTAATCTTAAATTGTGCAGAACAGCGCAGGCTACAATAATTCGTGTGACTCTATGTGGTTTCATGCGTATCTATAATCGAAAAAATGTGTCAATTTTATTTTAAATGTAAGCGTCAAAACCTTTTAGAACGTACAACACGGCAAATAAAAATAAAATTTATCGCGCGGTTTGAATGTTCATTATGTAATGTAAAACAGAAGGACATGTACATGTCATTACAAATGTATTTGTCATTGACAATTTTCTCAATAAGAGAATTATTAAGGACATGAACTTTTTGAAATACAACTGGAAAAAGTGTATTAAATATGACATACTTCACCATGTAAGATATGAAAGGTTCTCTTCCAAACTCCGAACACTCTCTCTACTACATTGCGTGTCGAAATGTGTGCCTTGTTAAATCGCTCTTCATTCTCGTTTCCTACAAAATGAATGGTTTGTTCTTGATCACCAGTCTCAAAATGTCAACAGAAATTATGAAAAGATCGAATTTTTAAAACAATATGCTACCACTAAGTTTATATTTAAATGTGTATGTGTACGTACTTGGCTGTAAAAAGGGTGTGATAAGAAATGGTCGGCACGGGTATCCACTGTCTCCTAAAAGGTATCCATTTTGTGGGTCTGAAATTAATAAATTGTAAGTTATCCTATACTCTCTGTTGATGTTTATACTACAGAATAGAGAAAAACGATGATTTGGTAGTAAATCGCTTTAATAAGTTATTTTTTAGAAATATAATTTTTATTGCCTTAGATATAATACATATTTAAATAACGTTACCAAATCGCTTCATTCTAATTAATAAATACATTGATAACCATATAACTCATTATTTATCAACATTATAAAAAGTACCTTGGTTGTGACTTTGCAAGTGTCTGCCAATACTTGACATTCTGAAGACGTGGCTGTCATGGCAACTTCCTGGCCAGCACGCATTTAGGCTTGTAAACTTCCCTGTTAAATGATACAATAAATTTCGAATCAATCAATTATGATGGAAATAACGTTAATATCATTATCAAATTTCAATAAGATGTATTTTCTTTAAAGATAATAATTGAATAGATAATACATGTACCAGCCTTTTCTCAAACCTTTCACTCACGAGCTATTTCTAATAATTTTATGGCTTTACTGAGTAAATTTATCATGCAATGCATGTGAATGCGTTAGGAGAATGGTACCGGGTAATAGATCTATACTAGCGTTTAGTCTACGCCCTATATCCTGAATAACACCTACATTACTCTGGGAAATGGTCTCTTCAACAATTATAAATGAAAAATAGGTCCGATATAACAACATATTAGAATTATAATGGGTTATATTACATGTATGGGAACTACTTCTCTTCTTACAAAATAATGGATAATTACGGTACCCCATATGAGGCCTCATAACTAAGGGTTATTCTATGTTTAGAACATAATGGAATTTCCATAATTTGTATGACGAGCCTAATTTTGATGTGTAACATTTAATTTTTTGGTGAGTGAGCGTAATAAAAAATAATATTTAAGTCACTTCGATTTTTGTACGGGAACTGCTCGCATTAAAAACTATACTGTACTATACTGGGTACTGTACTTTATATGTAGAGTCTAATATAAAAAAAAACAACATTTAAAGGTTGCAAAATAAGTTTTGCGAAAACCAAGTGCTGATTGTACAGCAGTACTGTACTGTAGTACTATTACATCGCTAACCAATGAGTGTGTGCTGAACATGACAGTAATTGCTTTCCATACAATACTTTTACCTTGACACTTAATGATGTCATCAAATATGTGATGTCATCTTTACCAGGAAAAAATCATTATTCTGGTAAAAGAGGAAGTGAAAGTAATTAAATTTACATGTGTCGTTACAGTAGGGTTTCTAGTTGTGCTGTGACTTCTAGATTGAGAAATTAATTTAGACTATACTGAATATAGATTATAGAAAATACAGGACTCGGGAGTGACATTGTGTACAGTATCATCGTATCATGTCAACTTTAGGTCTACAGTAGAGAGTCTAAGAAAATTTGTAAAGTGAGGAAATAGTGAAAATGAGTTTAAATGACAATGACTTCACTATAGAAAAGTACAGGTAAGATTTATTTATAAAGAAACAAAGGTCTTGAACTATCTTAGTCTATTATATATTGTTTACTGCAGTAGATATTATAAGTCAACAAAATCTGAATTGGAAATCAAGTTGTTTACTGTAATGTGTATATGTGTATGTACCTTTATGATCACAAGTTGCCTGTACATTTATACTATGCTGATGTTTCCTGTTCACATATGCTGCTTCATCTGGTTGTCCTGGGGATATCAGTTTTACGTGAGTTCCATCTATGCATCCAATCACTGAGGGAAATCCGCGTATTGCGTAAAACCCATTCATGACTTTTCGTCGGTCAGTGTCGGTCATTGGAAACTTTATTACCTGGTCTTTCAGTCCGAAAAGTATGTCAGTCACTTTTGAGATAACTCTGGAAACTGTAGCAATGTCCACACCAAAGGTGTCACCAATAACCTGCATGAAATTACCCGTGGCAAGAAACCTCAAGGTAATCAAAATCTGTTGTCGGGGTGTAAGGGCTTGATTCCGACGGGTTTGTCGCACCAAAAGTGGTCCAATAAGTCTGACTAGTCTGTCAATATTGTCAGCAGAAAACCTATACCGTTTCCGCAATTCCTCGTCCGTAAAGTCAGTCAATTGTCGATCAACTCGTCGAAATTGCCGGGGTCGTCGGTGTGAAACGCGTAAAATGTCCGCCATGTTGGTTTTGGTTACCGTGCAGTTACCGAGCTACTTTACCTGGGTTAAATTTAACCGCGGTTATAGCGCGGTAACTGCTTTTGATGTTTTTTATACAATCGCTTACCGCGAGGTTACCGGGCTGGTTACCGTAACCGTGTGGTAACCGCGCGGTTAAATTGTTTATACAATTGGCTGCAGCTGGTTAAATTTGTCTATTGGATAAATTCTGTTGCTCAAAACTTATCCAACGGATAAAATGCGTTATCCAGCGGTTAACTTAAGCCAGTCCTATGACCACCGGATAATACCATTAACCAGTGGTTAGTCATCATCATTAAACAGTAAAAATCATTAAAACTTGTTTAAAAAAAAAGTTTGTTGCAAATATATGTTTATTTTTCTTAACTAGAAAATTTCATATAAAATGCATAGGATTAAATTGAAGCATTTCTGAAAATGTGCTTCTAGAACCCTTTTTCAATCTAAATTTGTTGTTGTTGTAGTTTAGAAAATTCAGTTAAACAGTCATAACTTTTTTATTCTTTAATAAAACATACAAGTGTCAGTGTTAGAACATTACTCATCTAATGGAAGTAATTTCAACTCAAAATTTGAAAAAAAAGTTGTTTTTGAATTTTTTCTTATGTGTGTAAATCTATCAATACTTTAAGGCCTCTGATATACTTTTTGTTTAATTCCAAAAACAAAAAAGCACAAAACATGCAAAATTATTTTTGGGAGCTTTTTGATCATAATAAATTTATTATTTAACAAAAAATCGGCCATTTTGTTTCCGGAATCACTAACCAACCCTGTTGCATTGTGGTACTTAACCAGTGAATAAATACTCTATCCACTGGTTAGGTAGCCAGTGTACTATCCAACTGTCGAACAATGACATTTTATCACCAGGATAGCTGGCCGCTGGTTAAGGATTTAGCCAGTGGATAAGCTATCCATTGGTTAATTTTAACCAATGTTTTGAACAACCCGGTCCTGATCTCCTCATAAACCAGTTTTGGATTTATGACCAAACTTCACAGGAATGATCCATAGGTAGTCCTCAACCAACACAATTTATATAAATGGTTCCAGTCTGATGAATAAGGTCATAAAAAATAAAATTATATAATCTGGTATGTAGCATGATCAAGCTAACCTGCACAAAAATAATATAATTCATGCATTAGGGGTTTATATTGGTCCTGCGCATGGGATCACTTAATGTACCTAGACTTGTATACAATGTCAATAACGTAGATATTTGGCATGTCTCATTGCCAACAGCCTCCGTGGTCTAGGGGTTAGAGTCGATGACTTCTAATCCAGTTACTTCTCTGGCGTGGGTTCGACCCCCGGGAGATGCTTAGGTAGTTTAGCGCGGAGGTTGGTAGTCTAGTACTGGTGTAACTCTCCAGGAATGATGGTTAGGAAACTACCCGCCTATATGACTGAAATACTGTTGAAAAAGGCGTAAAATGACACAAACAAACAATGTCTCATTGCCAAGTGGACCTCTTCAAGATATAAAAGTTATATGCATAGAGTCAAAAATGACCGTGCCCTAAGGGTCACTTAGTTTACAAAGACTTGTATGGTATAAATGTCTTAAAGCCGCCTCTCTGAAAGTACATTACGCAGATCTTAAATATTTAGTTTGTACAATCATGTTGGGAGTCTATATAATATGTATATAAATTATGCCCCTGGGGCCTAACATACCCAAGGCCCTGGGGGTCTCTTACTTTTTATGACTTGTATGATAAAATAAATTTAAATCTTCTTTTTATGCCCCCGGGCCTATAGTGATTGAACCATCCGTCTGTCCGTATGAGGTTAACTTAGAACGGCAAGTTGAATTTTTGTGTCGCCTCTAGGGAGAAGTGGCGACATATAGGGATCACTTCTCCGTCGTCTGTCTGTCCGTCTGTCTGTCACAAAACTTGTCCTGACTACTCCTCATAAACTACTGGTGCAATTTCATCCAAACTTTACAGGAATGATCAGTACCAAGTGTAGTTGTGCATATTGTCAGCATTTTCCGGTTCAATGATTTTTGTCAGAGTTATGGCCCTTTAATAATTTTTAACCAGGTTTTCAACGAAAACCGGAGTTATTGTAATGCCGAAGTCGGCGGGCGGGCGGGCGTCAACTTTTGGTTTCCGCTCAATAACTTTAGTTTGCTTTGGCCTATTGACACCAAACTTGGTGTGTAGGTAGCTTATATAAAGAGGCAGCTTGGGATTGCTATCCAGGTGTCTGTGATCTAGGTCAAGGTCACTGTTACTAAAAATAGAAATTCAGTTTCCGCTCAATAAATTGAGTTTTCTTTGGCCTATTGACACCAAACTTGGTGTATGGATAGCTTATATCAAGAGGCAGCTTGGGATTGCTACCCAGGTGTCTGTGATCTAGGTCAAGGTCACTGTTACTAAAAAAAGAAATTAAGTTTCCGCTCAATAACTTGAGTTTGCTTTGGCCTATTCACACCAAACTTGGTGTTTGGATAGCTTATATCAAGAGGCAGCTTGGGATTGCTACCCAGATGTCTGTGATCTAGGTCAAGGTCACTGTTACTAAAAATAGAAATTCAGTTTCCGCTCAATAACTTGAGATTGCTTTGGCCTATTGACATTAAACTTGGTGTATGGATAGGTTATATCAAGAGGCAGCTTGGGATTGCTACCAAGGTGTCTGTGATCAAGGTCAAGGTCACTGTTACTTAAAATAAAAATTCAGTTTCCGCTCAATAACTTGAGTTTGCTTTGGCGTATTGACTCCAAACTTGTTGTATGGATAGCTTATATCAAGAGGCAGCTTGGGATTGCTACCCAGGTGTCTGTGATCTAGGTCAAGGTCACTGTTACTAAAAATACAAATTCAGTTTCCGCGTAATAAATTGAGTTTTCTTTGGCCTATTGACACCAAACTTAGTGTATGGATAGCTTATATCAAGAGGCAGCTTGGGATTGCTACCCAGGTGTCTGTGATCTAGGTCAAGGTCACTGTTACTAACATAGAAATTCAGTTTCGGCTCAATTACTTGAGTTTGCTTTGGCCTATTCACACCAAACTTGGTGTTTGGATAGCTTATATCAAGAGGCAGCTTGGGATTGCTACCCAGATGCCGTTGATCTAGGTCAAGGTCACTGTTACTAAAAATAGAAATTCAGTTTCCGCTCAATAACTTGAGATTGCTTTGGCCTATTGACATTAAACTTGGTGTATGGATAGGTTATATCAAGAGGCAGCTTGGGATTGCTACCAAGGTGTCTGTGATCAAGGTCAAGGTCACTGTTACTAAAAATAGAAATTCAGTTTCCGCTCAATAACTTGAGTTTGCTTTGGTGTATCGACTCCAAACTTGTTGTAAGGATAGCTTATATCAAGAGGCAGCTTGGGATTGCTACCCAGGTGTCTGTGATCTAGGTCAAGGTCACTGTTACTAAAATAGAAATTCAGTTTCTGCTCAATAACTTGAGACTGTTTTGGCCTATTGACATTTAACTTGGTGTATGGATAGCTTATATCAAGAGGAATCTTGGGATTGCTACCCTGGTGTCTTTGATCAAGGTCAAGGTCACTGTTACTAAAAATAGAAATTCAGTTTCTGCTCAATAACTTGAGTTTGCTTTGGCCTATTGACACCAAACTTGATGAATGGGTAGCTTATATCAAGAGGCAGCTTGGGATTGCTACCCAGGTGTCTGTGATCAAGGTTAATGTATTTAGTTTTCATGTCAGTTAGTTTAGTTTGCTTTGACCTTTTGACACCGAACTTGCTGAGTGGCAGCTTTCGATTGCCACTTAGATATCTGGGAGCAAGGTCAAGGAAATTTGCTTACAATAGAATTTTCAGTATCTACTCAATAACTTCAGTGCACTTTGACCTATTGATTGCTGTCACATCAAAACTTGGTCGTTGAAAACCTGGTTTTCGTCGCATTGCGGCGCTTCTTGTTAATTTTAAAGTTTGTCCGGACTACTTCTCTTATACTACTAATGCAATTTCAATGAACCTGTACAGGATTGATCTGTAGCTCAAGTCCTTGCGCATATTGCATGGGTTTTCTGGTTGAATGATTTTTGGCCGAGTTATGGCCCTTTGATAAAAAGGTGTTTTTTTCTGTGTGTTGCCAGATATGCAAAAGCTTGTCCGGACTACTCCTCATAAACTTCTGGTGCAATTTTATCCAAACTTTACAGGAATGATCAGTACCAAGTCTAGTTTTGCACTGTCCATCTGTCTGTCCGTCTGTCACAAAATTTGTCCCAACATGAAATTGGCCATCATGAGGCGACACATGTGATTACTGATCGCTCTTGTTCTTAAGTTCTACCTGTACCAATGGCTTCTAAGTTTACACACTTACTAATCAATACAAAGTACTTGATCTGGGCAAGTCACATAACCCTGGCATTCATATTTACCAAATTATTGCCCTTTTCAGCACTTAGAAAATGAATAATGGTTAACCTAAAACGGCAAGTTGGAAATACATTTGTATCTTAAGTTCTATCAATACTAATGGCTTTATTATTTCCACACTTACTTATCAATACAAAGTACATGATATTGCCAAGTTATATAACTGTGTCATCCATATTTCCCAGTTATTTCCCTTTTTTCACTTTGAAATTAAGGCCTTGTCTGGTTAACCTATTTCGGCAAGTTGGATTTATTTTAAATTTCTCCTTATTGCTTAATTTCCTTATTGATATCTTTCATATTTTGTAGGTGGATACCTTTGATGGTCTTCTAATTTTTTGTGGAGTAAGCGGTCTCTAGGGTCAAGGTCAAGGTCACTGGTTTAAAAAATAAATATAAACATTTTTGCTCATACAGCCTTTATATTTTAGTTGATGTTTTAGTTTAATACAAACATGCCAAGGGAGGTCCTCCTTCTTTGGGTGTAGTAAGGGGTCATTTGGGTCAAGGTCAATGTTACCAATGTCAAGGTCACCAATGTTAAAAATATATTTTTACATTTTTACAGATGTATTGACCTTATTCTATAGACAGATGTTATTTATAATTGATAGAAACATAAACTTTGATGGAGTTAGTGGTCAGTTGGGTCAATGTCACCAGTGCTAAAAATAGATTTTTACACATTTGCTCATACAGCCTTTATTAAGTGACAGATATATTTTATCTTTGGTACGAAGATGACTTGCATGGTCATCATTTTGATTGGG